TTGAACCAGGGACCTTTTGATCTTCAGTCTAACGCTCTGGGAAAAATTTTCCCCCCGGGGGGGGTTCCAAAAAATTTTTTTTTTTATTTTTAAAAAAAAAATTTTTTTTTTTAAAAAAATTTTTTGGGGGGGAAAACCCCCCAAAAAAAAAAAAACCCCAAAACCCAAGGGGGGGGGAAACCCCCGGGTTCCCCAAATTTTTTTAAACCCCCCCCAAAAATTTTCCCCGGGAAAATTTTTTTTTTTTTTTTCCCAAACCATTTTTTAAAAAAAGGGGTTTTTTTTTTTTAAAAAAAAATTCCCCCGGGGAAAAAAATTTTTTTTTTAAAAAAAAAAAAAAACCCCCCGGGGGGAAAAAAAGGAAACCCCCCGGGGAAACCGGGGTTTTTTTTTGGGGGGGGGGCCCCCCCCAAAAAAAAATTTTTTTTTTTTTTTTTTCTTTTAAAAAAAATTTTTTAAAAAAAAAAAAAAAAAAATTTTTTTTTTTTTTTTTTAAAAAAAAAATTTTAAAAAAAAACCCCCGGGGGGGGAATCCCCCCCCCAAAAACCCAAACCCCCAAAAACCCCGGGGGAAAAAACCCCCAAAAAAGGGTTTTTTTTTTTTTTTCCCCCCAAAAAATTTGGGTTTTAAAAAAAAAAAAAAATTTTTTTTGGGGGAATCAAAAGGTTTTTTAAAAAAAAAAAAAATAAAGGGGGGAGAATCCCCCCCCGGTTTAAAGGGGGTTTTGACCCAAACCCAACCCCCCAAAAAACCCCCCCCCCAAAAGGGTTTTTTTTTTTGGGGAAAAACCCCCAAAAAATTTGGGGTTTTAAAAAAAAAATTTTCCCCCGGGCCCCGGGTTCCCCAAAAAAAGGGGGGAAAAAAAAAAATCTGGGGGAAAAAACCCGGGTTCCCCGGGGAAAAATTTTTAAAAAACCCCTTCCCCCCGGGGGTTTTCCCCCCCCTTTTTTCCCCTTTTTTTTTTTTTCCCCAAAAAAAAAAATTTTCCCGGGGGGAACCCCTTTTTTTTAAAAAAAAAAAAAAAACCCCCGGGGGGGCCCCCCCCCCCGGGGGGGAACCGGGTTTTTTTAAATCTCCCCTGGAAAAGGCCCCCTTTTTTTTTTTTTTTTCCCCCCAAAAAAATTTGGGTTTTAAAAAAAAACCCCCCCCAGAAAAAAAGGGGGGTTTTAAAAAAAAAATTCCCCCGAGGAACCCAAAATTTCCCCCGGGGGGGGGAAAAAAATTTTAAACCCCCCCAAAAAAAAACCCCCCCCCTTTTTTTTTTTCCCCCCCTTTTTTTAAAATTTTTAAAAAAAAAATCTCCCGGGGAAAAAAAAATTTTTTTTAAAAAAAAAAGGGGGGTTTCCCCCCCCCTGGGTTTGGGGGGGGAAAAAAAAAAAAAAAATTTTTTAAACCCCCAAAAAAAAAAATTTTTTTTTAATTTTTTTTAAAAAATTTTTTTTTTTCCCCAAAAAAAAAAAGGGAATGGGGCCCCCCAAAAAAAATTTAATTAAACCCCCCCCAAAAGGGGGGAAACCGGGGAAAACCCCTTTTTTTCCCCCCCCGGGGGGGCCTTTAACCCAAAAATTTTTTTTCCCCCTTTTTAAAAAAAAAGTTTTTTTTTCCCAAAAAAAATTTTTTGGGGGGTTTTTAAAAAAAAAAACCCCCCCGGGGGCCCCCCCCGGAAACCGGGGAAAAAAAACCGGGGGTTTTCTTCCCGGTTCCCCCCTTTTTCCCCCCCCCCCTTTTTTTTTTTTCCCCCCTTTTTTTTTTTTTTTTTAAAAACCCAAAAAAAATTTGGGGGAAAAAAACCCCCCTTTCCCCCGGGGGGGCCCCTTCCCCCCCGGGGGGGGGGGAAAAAAGGGGGTTTAAAAAAACCCCCCCTTTTTTTTTTTTATTTTTTCCCCTAAAAATTTTTTTTTTTTTTAAAAAAAAAAAAAAGGGGGGGGAAAAAAAAAAAATTTTTAACCCGGGGGGAAAACCCCCCCTTTAAAGGGGGGAAAAAATTAAAAGGGGGGTTTAATTTGGCCCCAAACCCCCCCCCAATTTTAAAATTTTTTTTTTTTTCCCCCCAAAAGGTTTTTTTTTTTTCCCCAAAAAAAAAAGGGGTTTAAAAAAAAAAACCCCCCCCCCAAACCCCCCCCGGGGGGGGGGGGAAAAATTTAAAGGGGTTTAAATTTTTGCCAAACCCCCCCCAAAACCCCCCGGAAAAAATTTTTTTTCCCCCCCCCCCAAAAAAAAATTTTTTTTTTTTTCCCCCTACCCCCAAAAAAGGGGGGGTTTTAAAAAAGGGGAAAAAAAAAATTTCCCCCCCAAAAAAGGGGGGGGGGGCCCCGGGGAAAAAATTTTTAAAAAAACCCCCCCCCGGGGGGAAAAGGGACCTTGTTTTGGTTTTTTTTTTTTTTTCCCCTTTAAAAAAATTTTTTTTTTTTCCCAAAAAAAAATTTGGGGGAATTTTTCCCCCCAAAAAAAAAAAATCCCGGGGGGCCCCCCCAAAAAGGGGGGCCCCAAAATTTTCCCAAAGGTTAAAAAAACCCCCCCCCAAAAAATTTTTTTTTCCCCCAAAAATTTTTTTTTTTTTAAAAAAAAACCCCCCAAAAAAATTTTTTAAAAAACCAAAAAACCCCCCCCGGGGGGGGCCCCCCCCAAAGGGGGAAAAACCCCCCGATTTTTTTAAAACCCCCCCCCGGGGCCCCAAAAATTTTTTTCCCCGGGGTTTTAAAAAAAAAAGGGGTTTTTTTTAAAAAAAAACCCCCGGGGGGGGCCCCCCCGGGAAAAAAAAAACCCCCCAAAAAAAGGGGTTTGGGAAGGGGGGGTTTTTAACCCAAAAAAATTTTTGGGTTTTTTTGGGGGGGGGGGTTTTTTTAAAAATTTTTTTTTTCCCCCCCCTTTTTTTTTTAAAATTTTTTTTTTTTTAAAAAAAAAAATACCCGGGGGGGGGGCCCCCCCCCAAAAAAAAAAGGGGGGGGGGGGGGGCCCCCCCCCTTTTTTTTAAAAAAAAACCCTTAAAAATCCCCCCCCCCCAAAAAAAAAAAGGTTTTTTTTTTTGGGGGGTTTTTTTTTTTTTTTTAAAACAAAAAAAGGGGGGAAAAAAAAAGGGGGGGGGGGGAAAAAAAGGGGGGGAAACCCCCAAAAAGGGGGGCCAGGGCGCTGGGCCCCCGGGGTTTTAACCGGGTTTTTTTCCCCCCAATTTTTTTCCCCCCTTTTTTTAAAAAAAAATTTTTTTTTTTAAATTCCAAAAAAAAAAAAAAAGGGGGGGGGGAAAAAAAAAAAAAAGGGGGGGGCCCCCCCCGGGGGAAGGGGAAACCCCAAAAACCGGGGGTTTTCCCGCCCCCCTTCCCCGGGGGTTTTTTTTCCCCCAAAATTTTTTTTTTGCCCCAAAAAAAAAATTTTTTTTTTAAAAAAAAACCCCCAAAAAAATTTTTTCCCCCCCCCCCAAAAAAAATTCCCCCGGGGAACCAAAACCCCGGGGGGGGGGGCCCCCCTTCCAAAAACCCCCCCCCAAAAAAGGGGGGGTTTTTTTTCCCCCCCCAAAAAATTTTTTTTTAAAAAAAAAAAAAAAAGGGGGTTTAAAACCCCCCCAAAAAACCCCCAAAAAAAACCCCCCCAAAAACCCCCCAAACCGGGGGGGTTTTTTTTTCCCCCCCCCCCAAACCCCGGGAAAAATTTTTTTTTAAAATTTGGGTTTTAAAAAAATTTTTTTTTTTTTCAAAAAAAAAAAAAGAATTTTTTCCCCCCCAAAAAAAAAGGGGGGGGAAAATTAAAAAGGGGGGGGGGCCCCTTTCCCCCGGGGGAAAAACTTCGGGCCCCCCCCCCCGAACCCCCCAAAAAATTTTTTTTTTTTTTTTTTAAAAATTTTTTTTTTTTAAAAAAAAAAAAAAAGGGGGGGCCCCCCCAAAAAAAAAAAGGGGGGGAAAAACCCCCCCTTTGGGGGGGGGGCCCCGGGGCCCCCCTTTAAAGGGGCCAAACCCCCAAAAAAAAAAAATTTTTTTTTTTTTAATGGGGGAAAAAAAAAAGGTTTTTTTTTCCCCAAAAAAAAAAGGGGAAAAAGGGGGGTTTTTAAAAAAAAAATACCCCCCCGGGAACTTTTCCGGGGGGGAATTTAACCCCAAAAAAAAACCCCCCCCCGGGAAAAGGGGCCTTTAAAAATTTTTTTTTTCCCCCCAAAGGGGGAAAAAAAAAATTTTTTTTTTCCCCAAAAAAAAGGGGGGGGGAAAAATTTTTAAAAAAAAAAAACCCCCCAAATTGGGGTTTTTGGGCCCCGGGGAAAGGGCCCTTTTTAAAAACCCCCCCAAAAAAAAAAAAATTTTTTTTTTTCCCCCCCCTTTTTTTTTTGGGTTTTTTTTTTTAAAAAAAAAAAAAATTTTTTAAAAAAAAAAAAACCCCCCCGGGGGGGGGGCCCCCCCCCCCCCCCGGGGGGGGGGTTCCCCTTTTTTTTCCCCCCCCCGGGGGGGAAAAAAAAAAATTTTTTTTTTTTTAACCCCCCCAAAAAAATTTGGGTTTTAAAAAAAAAAAAAAAAAACCCCCTTTTAAGGGGTTTTTCCCCCCAAAAAAACCCCCGGGGGGGCCCCCCCGGGGGGGGGGAAAAAATTTTTGGGGCCCAAACCCCCCCCAAAAAAAAAAGGGTTTTAATTTTTAAAAAATTTTTTCCCCCCCCCTTTTTTTTAAAATTTTTTTTTTTAAAACCAAAAAAAAAAAATTTTAAAAAAAAGGCCCCCCGGGGAAGGGGGCCCCCCCCCAAAAGGGGGGGGGGAAAAAATTCCCCAAAAAATTGAACCGGGGGTTTAAAACCCCCCTTTTTGGAACCCCCCCAAAAATTTTTTTTTTTTTTTTTCCAAAAAAAAATTTTTTTTTTTTTTTTTAAAAAAAATTATGCTAGCGTAAGTACTTATAATGTATTAGTGGTTTTAAACGCACACAATAAAAAAAAAAAAAAAATACTCCCGGCGGGAATCGAACCCCGGTCTCCGCGTGACAGGCGGGGATACTGACCACTATACTACCGGAGGATGCTAGAATCTGCCGAAACCCGGACGGAACCAGGGACCTTTAAATTTCAGTCTAACGCTCTCCCGCTAACTGAGCTATTTCGGCATCGCGTCTGTAAAAGAGTTTTATTTTCTTCCCTTTAAGCGTTATTACAAGTACTTTATAATGTATTAGTGGTTTTAAATACACAAAAAAATACTCCCTCGGCGGGGAATTAACCCCGGTCTCCCGCGTGGCGGTATGTGATACTGACCACTATTACTACCGAGGATGCGAATCTGCCGAAACCCAGGATTGAACCATTGTAACTTTTAGATCTTCAGTCTAACGTTTCTCCCAACTGAGTTTATTTCAGCGTCGCCTGCAAAAGAGTTTTTTATTTTTCCTTATGCTACGAGTACTTAAAATGTATTAGTGGTTTTAAATACAAAACAAAAAAATACTTCCCCGGCGGGGAATCGAACCGGTCTCCCGCGTGACAGGCGGGATACTGACCACTATACTACCGAGGATGCTAGAAATCGCCGAACCCCGATTGAACCAGGGACCTTTAGATCTTCAGTCTAACGCTTCCCAACTGAGCTATTTCGGCACGTCTGCAAAGAGTTTTTATTTTTCCTTATGCTACGAGTACTTTAAAATGTATTAGTGGTTTTAAATACACAAAAAAAAAAAAATACTCCCTTGCGGGGAATCGAACCCCGGTCTCCCGCGTGACAGGCGGGGATACTCGACCACTATACTACCGAGAATGCTAGGACACCGCCGGTTCCCGGATTGAACCAGGGACCTGACCAGTCGAACGCTCTCCCAACTGAGCTATTTCTCGGCATCGCCTCTGCAAAAGAGTTTTTTATTTTTCCCTTATGCCGCGAGTACTTAAAATGTATTAGTGTTTTAAATACACAAAAAAAAAAAAAAATACTCCCCGGCGGGGAATCGAACTCCCGCCCCCGCGTGACAGGCGGTGATGGCCAATCACCATATTCGTACCGAGGATGCTAGAATCCGCCGAAACCCGGATTGAACCAGGACCTTTAGATCTTCAGTCTAACGCTCTCCCCAACTGAGTTTATTTCGGCATCGTCTGTGTTGAAAGTATTTTCTTCCCTTATGCTACGAGTACTTAAAATGTATTAGTGGTTTTAAATACACAAAAGAAATACCCCCGGCGGGGAATCGAACTCCGCCCCCGCGTGACAGGCGATACTGACCACTATAATTACCGAGGATGCTAGAATCTGCCGAAACCCGGATTGAACCATTAGGACCTTTAGATCTTCAGTCTAATCTCCAACTGAGCTATTTCGGCACGTGTCTGCAAAGAGTTTTTTATTTTCTTCCTTTATGCTACAGCATCTAAAATGGCTAGTGGTTTTAAATACTCAAAAAAAAATACCCCCGGCGGTGAATCGAACCCCGGTTCCCGCGCGTGACAGGCGGGGATACTGACCACTATACTACCGTGGATGCTGTGAATTCGCCGAAAACACGGATTAAACCAGGGACTTTAGATCTTCAGTCTAACGCCTTCCAACTGAGCTATTTCTGGCACGTCTGCAAAAGAAAGCTTTCTTTTTTATTTTCTTCCCTTTATGCTGCTACGAGTACTTAAAATTTACAGTGGTTTTAACAACTCAAAAAAAAAGAAAAATACTCCCCGGCGTAAATCAATCCCCGGTCTCCCCGCGTGACAGGCGGGGATACGACCACTATACTACCGAGATGCTAGAATCTGCCGAAACCCGGATTGAACCAGGATATGCTTAGGATCTTTCAGCTCAACGCTCTCCCAACTGAGCTATTTCGGCACGTCTGCAATAGAGTTTTTTATTTTCTTTCCCTTTATGTTACAAGTACTTATAATGTATAGTGGTTTTAAATACACAAAAAAAAAAAAATACTTCCCCGGCGGGGAATCGAACCCGGTCTCCCGCGTGACAGGCGGGGATACTGACCACTATACTACCGAGGATGCTAGAATCTGCCGAAACCCAGGTGATTGAACTATTAGGACCTTTTAGATCTTCAGTCTAACGTTTCCCAACTGAGCTATTTCGGCACGTCTGCAAAAGAGTTTTATTTTCTTTCCTTATGCTACGAGTACTTAAAACGTATTAGTTAGTGGTTTTAAATACACAAAAAAACAAAATACTCCCGGCGTGGGGAATCGAACCCCGGTTCCCGCGTGACAGGCGGGGATACTGACCACTATACTACCGAGGATGCTAGAATTGCCGAACCCCCGGATTGAACCAGGGACCTTTTGTATCTTCTCACAGTCTAACGCTCTCCAACTGAGCTATTTCGGCATCGTCTGCAAAAGAGTTTTTATTTTTCCCTTATGCTACGAGTACTTAAAATGTACAGTGGTTTTAATACACAAAAAAAATACTCCCTTGCGGGGAATCGAACCCCCGGTCTCCCGCGTGACAGGCGGGGGATACTGACCACTATGCGTACGTCGAGAATGCTAGAATCTTCGCCGAAACCCGGATTGAACCAGGGACCTTAGATCTTCAGTCGAACGTGCGCTCTCCCAACTGAGCTATTTCGGCACGTCTGCAAAGAGTTTTTATTTTCTTTCCTTATGCTACGAGTACTTAAAATGTAATAGTGTTTTTAAATACACAAAAAAAAAAATACCCCGGTGGGGCCTGAACCCCGGCCTCCCGCGTGACAGGCGGGGATACTGACCACTATACTACCGAGGATGCTAGGAACCGAAACCCGGATTGAACCAGGGACCTTTAGACTTTCAGTCTAACGCTCTCCAACTGAGCTATATTTCGGCACGTCTGCAAAAGAGTTTCTTTTATTTTCTTTTCCTTATGCTACGAGTACTTAAAATGTATTAGTGGTTTTAAATACACAAAAAGAAATACTCCCCGAATCGAACCGGTCTCCCGCGCGTGACAGGCGGGGATACTGACCAATTATACTACCGAGGATGCTAGAATCTGCCGAAACCCGATTGAACCACAGGGACCTTTAGATCTTTCAGTCTAATCGCTCACCCGAGCTTATTTCGGCATCGTCTGCAAAAGAGTTTTTTATTTTTCTTTCCTTATGCTACGAGTAATTAAAATGGCCAGGTTTAAATACTCAAAAAATACTCCCCGGCGGTGAATCGAACTCGGTCTCCCGCGTGACAGGCGGGGATACCGGACCACTATACTACCGTGAATGCTGTAGAATCTTGCCGAAACACGACGAAACCAGGACTTTATCTTCAGTCTAACGCTTTTCCTCCCGGGAGCTATTTCGGCAACGTTCTGCAAAAGAGTTTTTATTTCTTTCCCTTATGCTACGAGTACTTAAATGTATTAGTGGTTTTAAATAACTCAAAAAAGAAAATACTCCCCGGCGGGAATCCAACCCCGGTCTCCCGCGTGACAGGCGGGGATACTCGGACCACTATACTGCCGAGGATGCTAGAATCTGCCGGAAACCCGATTGAACCCTGTGATATTTAGATCTTTCAGTTCAACGCTCTCCCAACTGAGCTATTTTACACGTCTGCAAAAGAGTTTTTATTTTCTTTTCCTTATGCTACGAGTACTTAAAATGTATTAGTGGTTTTAAATACACAAAAAAAAAAAAATATCTCGGCGGGGATCGAACCCGGTCTCCCGCGACAGGCGGGGATACGCACCACTATACTACCGAGGAAGCTAGGATCTGCCGAAACCCGGATTGAACCAGGGACCTTTAGATCTTCAGTCTAACGCTCTCCCAACTGAGCTATTTCGGCATCGCCCGCAAAAGAGTTTTTAATTTTTCTTCCTTATGCTACGAGTACTAAAATGTATTAGTGGTTTTAAATACACAAAAAAAAAAAAAAAACTCCCCGGCGGGGACCGAACTCCCGGTCTCCCGCGTGACAGGCGGGGGATACTGACCACTATACTACCGAGGATGCTAGAATCTGCCGAAACCCGGATTGAACCAGGGACCTTTGGATCTTCAGTCTTAACGCTCTCCACTGGAGCTATATTTCGGCATCGCCCTGCAAAAGAGTTTTTTATTTTCTTTCCATGGTGCTACGAGTACTTAAAATGCATTAGTGGTTTTAAATACACAAAAATATTCCCCGGCGGGGAAATTTCAACCGGTCTCCGCGTGACAGGCGTATACCCGGACCACTATACTACCAAGGATGCTAGAATCTGCCAAAACCCGGGATTGGAACCAGGAACCCTTTAGATCTTTCAGTCTAACGCTCTCCCAATCCAAGCTTATTTCGGGACGTCTGCAAAAGAGTTTTTATTTTCTTCCTTATGCTACGAGTACTTAAAATGTATTAGTAGTTTTAAATACGCACAAAAAAAAACAAAAATTACTTCCCCGGCGGGGAATCGAACCTCGGTCTCCCCGCGTGACAGGCGGGGATACTGACCACTATACTACCGAGGATGCTAGAATTCGCCGAAACCCGATTGAAATAGGGACCTTTAGATCTTCAGTCTAACGCTCTATCAAACTGAGCTATTTCGGCACGTCTGCAAAAGAGTTTTTTATTTTCTTTCCATGGTGCTACGAGTACTTAAAATGTATTAGTGGTTTTAAATAATAACAAAAAAAAATATTTCCCCGAGTGGGGAATCGAACCCCGGTCTCCCCGCGCGTGACAGGAGGGGATACTGACCACTATACTGGCCGAGGATGCGAATCTGCCGAAACCTGGGATTGAACCAGGGATCTTTAGATCTTCAGTCTAACGCTTCTCCCAATCGAGCTATTTCGGCATCGTCTGCAAAGAGTTTTTATTTTCCCCTTATACTACGAGTACTTAAAATGTATTAGTGGGTTTTAAATACACAAAAAAAATACTCCCCGGCGGGGAATCGAACCCCGGTCTCCCCGCGCGTGACAGGCGATACTGACCACTATACTACCGAGGATGCTAGAATTGCCGAAACCCGGATTGAACCAGGGACCTTTAGATCTTCAGCCCAACGCTCTCCAACTGAGCTATTTCGCATCGTCTGCAAAGAAAGTCTTTATTTTCTTTTCCTTATGCTACGAGTACTTAAAATGTATTAGTGGCGAATACACACACAAAAAAAAAAAAAAAAAATACTCCCCGGCAGGGAATCGAACCCCGGCCTCCCGCGTGACAGGCGGGGATAGTGACCACTATACTACCGAGGATGCTAGAATCTGCCGAAACACGGGATTGAACCAGGGACCTTTAGATCTTCAGTCTAACGCTCTCCCAACTGAGCTATTTCGGCACGTCTGCAAAAGAGTTTTTATTTTCTTTCCCTTATGCTACGAGTACTAAATGTATTAGTGGTTTTAAATACAAAATACTTCCCGGTCTCCCGCGACAGGCGGGATACTGACCACTATACTACCGAGGATGCTAGAATCTGCCGAAACCCGGATTGAACCAGGGACCTTTAGATCTTCAGTTCAACGCTCTCCCCAACTGAGCTATTTCGGCACGTCTGCAAAGAGTTTATTTTCTTTTCCTTATGCTACGAGTACTAAAATGTATTAGTGGTTTTAAATAATACCGTAATACCCCCGGCGGGGAATCGAACCCGGTCTCCCGCGCGACAGGAGGGGATACTGACCACTATACTACCGAGGGATGCTAGAATCTGCCGAAACCCGATTGAACCACAGGGATCTTTAGGATCTTCAGTCTAACGCTTCCTCCCAACTGAGCTATTTCGGCACGTCTGCAAAAGAGTTTTTTATTTTCTTCCTTTATGCCATGAGTACTTAAAATGTATTGTTTCCAATAACAAAAATACCCCGGCGGGGAATCGAACCCCGGTCTCCGCGTGACAGGCGGGGGCTACTCGACCACTATACTACCGAGGATAGAATCTGCCGAAACCCGGGATTGAACCAGGGACCTTTAGATCTTCTTCAGTCTAACGCTCTCCCAACTGAGCTATTTCGGCACGTTCGCAAAAGAGTTTTTATTTCTTTCCTTATGCTACGTGTAATTTAAAATGTATTAGTGGTTTTAAATACACAAAAAAATACTCCCCGGCGGGGAATCGAACCCCGGTCTCCCCGCGTGACAGGAGGGATACTGACCACTATACTACCGAGGATGCTATAATCTGCCGAAACCCGGATTGGAACCAGGACTTTTAGATCTTCAGTCTAACGCTCTCCCAACTGAGCTATTTTCCGGCACGTCTGCAAAGAGTTTTTTATTTTCTTCCTTATACTACGAGTACTTAAAATGTATTATGGTTTACACAAAAAAAAATACTCCCCGGTCTCCGGCGTGACAGGCGGGATACTGACCACTATAATACCGAGGATGCTAGGAATCTGCCGAAACCCGGATTGGAACCCGTGGACGCTTTAGATCTTCAGTCTAACGCTCTTCCAACTGAGCTATATTTCGGCATCGCCTGGGCAAAAGAGCGCCTTTTATTTTCTTCCCTTATGCTACGAGTACTTAAAATGTATTAGTGGTTTTAAATACACAAAAAAAAAAAAAAATACCCCCGGCAGGGAATCGAACCCCGGCCTCCCGCGTGACAGGCGGGGATACTGACCACTATACTACCGAGGATGCAAGCAATCCGCCGAAACCCGATTGAACCAGGACCTTTAGATCTTCAGTCTTAACGCTCTCCAATTGAGCTATTTCTGGCACGTCTGCAAAAGAGTTTTTATTTTTCTTCCTTATGCTACGAGTACTTAAAATTTATTAGTGGTTTTAAATACACAAAAATATTCCCCGGCTCGGAATCGAACTCGGTCTCCCCGCGTGACAGGCGGGATGTATTTCGACCACTATAATACGGAGTGATGCGCTAGAATCTGCCGAAACCCGGATTGAACCAGGGACTTTTAGATCTTTCAGTCTAACGCTCTCCCAACTGGAAGCTATTTCGGCATCGTCTGCAAAAGAGTTTTTTATTTTCTTCTTATACTCATGAGTACTTAAAATGTATTAGTGGTTTTAAATACACAAAAAAAAAAATACCCCGGCGGGGAATCGAACCCCCGGTCTCCCGCGTGACAGGCGGGGATACTGACCACTATACTACCGAGGATGCTAGAATCTGCCGAAACCCGGGATTGAACCAGGGACCTTTAGATCTTCAGTCTAACGCTCTCCCAACTGAGCTATTTCGGCACGTCTGCAAAAGAAAGTCTTTATTTTCTTTCCTTATGCTACGAGTACTAAAATGTATTAGTGGTTTTAAATACCACAAAAAAAATACTCCCCGAATCGAACCCCGGCCTCCCGCGTGACACAGGTGCGGGATAGTGACCACTATACTACCGAGGATAGAACGCCGAAACACGGGATTGAACCAGGGACCTTTAGATCTTTCAGTCTAACGCTTTCCAACTGAGCAATTCGAAAGTCTGCAGAGAGTTTTATTTTCTTTCCTTATGCTACGAGTACTTAAAATGTATTAGTGGTTTTAAATACACAAAAAAAAAAAAAATACTCCCCGGTGAATCGAACCCCGGTCTCCCACGTGACAGGCGGGGATACTCGACCACTATGTACTACCGAGGATGCCAGGAATCTGCCGAAACCCGGGATTGAACCACAGGGACCTTAGATCTTCAGTCTAACGCTTCCTCCCAACTGGAGCTTATTTCGGCACGTCTGCAAAAGAAAGCTTCTTTTATTTTCTTCCCTTATGCTACGAGTACTTAAAATAAATTAGTGGTTTTAAATACAAAAGAAAAAATACCCCCGGCGGGGAATCGAACCCCGGTCTCCTTCCGCGTGACAGGCGGGGATACTGACCACTATACTGCCGAGATGGTGGAATCTGCCGAAACACGGATTGAACCAGGGACCTTTAGATCTTCAGTCTAACGCTCTTCCAACTGAGCTATTTCGGCACGTCTGCAAAGAGTCTTTTATTTTCTTTTCCCTTATGCTACGAGTACTTAAAATGTATTAGTGGTTTTAACACACAAAAAAAATACTCCCCGGCAGGAATCGAACTCGGCCTCCCGCGTGACAGGCGGGGATACTGACCACTATACTGGCCGAGGACAAGAATCTGCCGAAAACCCGATTGAACCAGGACCTTTAGATCTTTCAGCCCTAACGCTCTCCAATTGAGCTATTTCAGCATCGCCCGGTAAAAGAGTTTTTTATTTTCTTTCCTTATGCTACGAGTACTTAAAATTTATTAGTGGTTTTAACACACAAAAATATTCCTGCCTGAATCGAACCCGGTCTCCCGCGTGACAGGCGGGGATACTGACCACTATACTACGGAGGATGCTAGAATCTGCCGAAACCCGATTGAACCAGGACTTTAGATCTTCAGTCTAACGCTCTCCCCAACTGAGCTATTTCGGCACGTCTGCAAAGAGTTTTTTATTTTCTCTTATACTACGAGTACTTAAAATGTATTAGTGGTTTTAAATACACAAAAAAAAAAAAAAAATACTCCCGGCGGGGAATCGAACTCGGTCTCCCGCGTGACAGGCGGGATACTGACCACTATACTACCGAGGATGCTAGAATTGCCGAAACCCGGGATTTAACCAGGGACCTTTAGATCTTCAGTCTAACGCTCTCCCAACTGGAGCTATTTAGGCACGTCTGCAAAGAGTCTTTATTTTCTTCCTTATGCTACGAGTACTTAAAATGTATTAGTGGTTTTAAATACACACAAAAAAATACTCCCCGGCAGGGAATTGAAAACCCGGCCTCCTGCGTGACAGGCGGGAGCAAGTAATCACCATGCCGCCGAGGATGCTAGAATCTGCCGAAACACGGATTGAACCAGGGACCTTTAGATCTTTCAGTCTAACGCTTTCCAACTGAGCAATTTCGGAAAGTTCGGTAAAGAGTTTTTATTTTTCTTTCCTTATGCTACGAGTACTTAAAATGTATGGTTTTAAATACACAAAAAAAAAAAAAAAAAAATACCTCCCCGGCGGGGAATCGAACCCCGGTCTCCCACGTGACAGGCGGGGATAATGCACCACTATACTACCGAGGATGCTAGAATCTGCCGAAACCCGGATTGAACCAGGACCTTTAGGATCTTCAGTCTAACGCTCTCCAACTGAGCTATTTCGGCACGTCTGCAAGAGTTTTATTTTCCTTATGCTACGAGTACTTAAAATAAATTAGTGGTTTTAAATACAAAAAGAAAATACCTCCCCGGCGGGGAATCGAACCCCGGTCTCCCGCGTGACAGGCGGGGGATACTGACCACTATACTACCGAGGATGCTAGAATCTGCCGGAAACACGGATTGAACCAGGGACCTTTAGATCTTCAGTCTAACGCTCTCCCAACTGAGCTATTTCGGCACGTTCCGGTAAAAGAGTTTTTATTTTCTTTTCCTCTTTATATGCTACGAGTACTTAAATGGCTAATGGTTTTAAATACAAAAAAAAATACCTTCCGGCGGGGAATCGAACCCGGTCTCCCGCAAGTGACAGGCGGGGATACCGACCCACTATACTACCGAGGATGCTAGAATCTGCCAAAACCCGGATTGAACCACAGGGACCTATAGATCTTTCGGTCTAACGCTCTCCAACTGAGCTATTTCGGCATCAAAGTCTGCAAAAGAGTTTTTATTTTCTTTCCCTTTATGCTACGAGTACTTAAAATGTATTAGTAGTTTTAAATACACAAAAAAAAAAAAAAAACCAAACAAAGCGGTCATTCCCCGGCGGGGAATCGAACCCCGGTCTCCCGCGTGACAGGCGGGGATACCGGACCACCATACTACCGAGGATGTTGTGAATCTGCCAAAACCCGGATTAACCAGGGACCCTTTAGATCTTCGGTCTAACGCTCTCTCCAACTGAGCTATTTCGGCATCGTCTGGCAAAAGAGTTTTTTATTTTCTTCTCTTATGCTACGAGTACTTAAAATGTATTAGTGGTTTTAAATACAATAAAAAAAAAAAAAATACCCCCGGCGGGGGAATCGAACCCCGGTCTCCCACGCGACAGGCGGGGATACTCGACCACTATACTACCGAGGATGTAAAGAATCTGCTCAAACCCGATTTCTCGAACCAGGGACCTTGATCTTCAGTCTTAACGCTCTCCCAATTGAGCTATTTCGGCATCGCCTGCAAAAAGAGTTTTTATTTTCTTTCCATGGTGCTACGAGTACTAAAATGTATTAGTGGTTTTAAATAACAAAAAAAAAAAAAAAAAAAATACTTCCTCGGTGAATCGAACCCCGTCTCCGCGTGACAGGCGGGGATATTGACCACTATACTACCAAGGATGCTAGAATCTGCCAAAAACCCGATTGAACCAGGGACCTTTAGATCTTCAGTCTAACGCTCTCCAACTAAGCTATTTCGGCACGCTCCAAAAGAGTTTTTATTTTCTTCCTTACGCTACGAGTACTTAAATGTATTAGTAGTTTTAAATACACAAAAACAAAAAAATACTACCTGGCGGGGACCGAACCCCGGTCTCCCCGCGTGACAGGCGGATACTGACCACTATACTACCGAGGATGTTAGAATCTGCCGAAACCCGGATTGAACCACAGAGACCTTTTTAGGATCTTCAGTCTAACGCTCTCCCCAACTGATCTTATTTCGGCATCGCGTCTGCAAAAGAGTTTTATTTTCTTTCCCTTTATGCTACGAGTACTTAAAATGTATTAGTGGTTTTAAATACACACAAAAAGAACAAAAAATACCCTGCGAATGAACCTTCGGTTCCCCGCGTGACAGGCGCGCATACTGACCACTATACTACCGAGGATGCTAGAATCTGCCGAAACCTGATTGAACCAGAGACCTTTATTCCTTCAGTCTAACGCTCTCCCAACTAAGCTATTTCGGCATCGCCCGCAAAAGAGTTTTTATTTTCTTTCCCTTATGCTACGAGTACTTAAAATGTATTAGTAGTTTTAAATACACAAAAAAAAAAAAAAAAAAAAATGACTCCCCGCGGGGAATCGAACCCCCGTCTCCCGCGTGACAGGCGGGATACTGACCACTATACTACCGAGGATGCTTAGAATCTGCCGAAACCCGATTGAACCAGGGACCTTTAGATCTTCGAAGTCTAACGCTCTCCCAATCCGAGCTTATTTCGGCACGTCTGCAAAAGAGTCTTTTATTTTCTTTCCCCGGCAAGCAATGAGTTACTTAAAACGCTTAGCGCTTCTAAATACACACAAAAAAATACCCCCGGCAGGGGAATTCCAGTCCCGCCTCCCCGCGTGACACAGGCGGGGATAGTGCACTACCATACTACTGAGGATGCTAGAATCTGCCGAAACCCGATTAAACCTAGGGACCTTAGGATCTTCTCAGTCTAACGTTTCCTCCCACTGAGCTATTTCGGCACGTCTGCAAAAGAGTTTTTATTTTTCTTTCTCTTATGCCATGAGTACGTAAATGTATTAGTGGTTTTAAATAATAACAAAAAAAAAATACTCCCCGCGGGGAATCGAATTCTCGGTCTCCTGCGTGACAGGCGGCCGACCACATGTACGTCGGAGGATGCAAGAATCTGCCGAAACCCGATTGAACTACAGGGACCTTTGATCTTTCAGTCTTAACGCTCTCCCAATTGAGCTATTTTCGGCATCGTTCGTAAAAGAGTTTTATTTTCTTCCATGGTGCTACTATACTAAAATGTATTAGTGGTTTTAAATACACAAAAAAAAAAAACTCCCCTGGTGGGGAATCGAACCTCGGTCTCCGCGTGACAGGCGCGGGGATACTGACTAATTATACTACCAAGGATAGAATCTGCCAAAACCGGACGAAACCAGGACCTTTAGATCTTCAGTCTAACGCCTCCAATCCGCTTGGCTTCGGGATCGGCAAAAAGAGTTTTTTATTTTCTTTTCCTTATGCTACGAGTACTTAAAATGTATTAGTAGTTTTTAAATACACAAAAAAAAACAAAAAAAAAATACAACCTGGCGGGGAATCGATCCCGGTCTCCCGCGTGACAGGCGGGATACTAATCACTTATACTACCGAGGATGCTAGAATCTGCTTGGAAACCCCGATTGTCCGAAAATTTTTAGATTCAGTTCAACGCTCCTAACTATTATTTCGCGATCGTCCGGCAAAAAGAGTTTTTTATTTTCTTTCCCTTATACTACGAGTACTTAAAATGTATTAGTGTTTTAAATACACAAAAAAAAAAAATACTCCCCGGCGGGGATACTGACCACTACTACCGAGGATGCTGAATCTGCCGTGAAACCCGGATTGAACCATAGGACCTTTGTAGGATCTTCGTACCTTAACGCTCTTCCAACTGAGCTATTTCGGCATCGCCTGCAAAGAGTCTTTATTTCTTTCCCTCTTATGCTAATGAGTACTTAAATGCGTTTGCTGGTTTTAAATACACAAAAAAAATACCCCGGCAGGGAATCGAACCCCGGCCTCCCAAGGCGTGACACAGGCGGGGATACGGGACTTCACTATACTACCGAGGATGCAAGAATCTGCCGAAACCCGATTGAACCAGGACCTTAGACTTCAGTCTTAACGCTCTCCAATTGGAGTTTATTTCGGCATCGTTCGCAAAGAGTTTTTTTATTTTTCTTCCCTTATGCTACGAGTACTTAAAATTTATATTAGTGGTTTTAAATACACAAAAAAAAAAATATTCCCGGCTCGAATCGAACTCCGGTCTCCCGCGTGACAGGCGGGGATAATGACCACTATACTACGGAGGATGCTAGAATCTGCCGAAAACCCGGGATTGAACCAGGGACCTTAGATCTTCAGTCTAACGCTTCCAACTGAGCTATTTTCGGCACGTCTGCAAAAGAGTCTTTTATTTTCTTTCCTTTATGCTACGAGTAATTTAAAATGCATAGTGGTTTTACCACACAAAAATACTCCCCGGAAGGGGAATCGAACCCCGGCCTCCCGCGTATTGCAGGCGGGGATAGTGACCACTATACTACCGAGGATGCTAGAATCTGCCGAAACACGGGATTGAACCAGGGACCTTTAGATCTTCAGTCTAACGCTTTCCCAACTGAGCAATTTCGAACGCTCCGTAAAAGAGTTTTTTATTTTCTTCCTTATGCTACGAGTACTTAAAATGTATTAGTGGTTTTAAATACACAAAAAAACAAAAATACTCCCCGGCAGGGAATCGAACCCCGGTCTCCCACGTGACAGGCGGGGATACTGACCACTATACTACCGAGGATGCTAGAATCTGCCGAAAACCGATTGAACCTAGGACCTTTAGATCTTTCAGTCTAACGCTCTCCTTAACTGAGCTATTTCGGCATCGTCTGGTAAAAAGAAAGCTTTATTTTCTTTCCCTTATGCTACGAGTACTTAAAATAAATTAGTGGTTTTAAATACAAAAGAAAAAATACTCGGCGGGGAATCGAACTCGGTCTCCCTGCGTGACAGGCGGGGATACTGACCACTATACTACCGAGGATGCTAGAATCTGCCGAAACACGGGATTGAACCAGGGACCTTTAGATCTTCAGTCTAAATCTCCCAACTGAGCTATTTCGGCATCGTCTGCAAAGAGTCTTTTATTTTCTTTCCTTATGCTGGCGAGTAATTTAAAAATGTATTAGTGGTTTTTTAAATACACAAAGAAAAATACTCCCCGGCGGGGAATCGAACTCCCGCCCTCCCGCAAAACAGGCGGGGATACTGACCCTACCATACTACCGAGGATGCTAGAATCTGCCGAAACACGGATTAAAACCGAGGGACATTTAGATCTTCAGTCTAACGCTCTCCCCAACTGGAGCTTCGGCATCGTCTGGTAAAAGAGTTTTTATTTTTTCCATGGTGCTACGAGTACTTAAAATGTATTAGTGGTTTTAAATACTCGTATCACTCCCCGGTAATCGAACTCCGGCCACCCGCGTGACAGGCGGGGATAGTGACCACTATACTACCGAGGATAAAACCAGAATCTGCCGAAACACGGATTGAACCAGGACCTTTAGATCTTTCAGTCTAACGCTTTCCCCAACTGAGCACTTCGGAACGTCTGCAAAAGAGTTTTTATTTTCTTCCTTTATGCTACGAGTACTTAAAATGTATTAGTGGTTTAAATACACAAAAAAATACTTCCCCGGTGCGGGGAATCGAACCCCGGTCTCCCCACGTGACAGGCGGGGATACTGACCACTATACTACCGAGGATGCGTTAGAATCTGCTGAAACCCGGATTGAACCAGGGACCTTTAGATTCAGTCTAACGCGCTCTCCAACTGAGCTATTTCGGCATCGTTCCAAAAGAGTTTTTTATTTTCTTTCCCTTATGCTACGAGTACTAAAATGTATTAATGGTTTTAAATACACAAAAAAAAAAAAAATAATTCCCCGGCGGGGACCGAACCCCGGTCCTCCCCGCGACAGGCGATACTGACCACTATACTACCGGAGGATGCTGTGAATCTGCAAAACCCGATTGAACTAGGACCTTAGATCTTCGATTCAACGCTTCTCCCCAACTGAGCTATTTCGGCACGTCTGCAAAAGAAAGTTTTTTATTTTCTTTCCTTATGCTACGAGTACTTAAAATGTGTATTAGTAGTTTTAAATACACAAAAAAACCAAACAACAAATACCCCGGCGGGAATCGAACTCCCCGGTCTCCCGCGTGACAGGCGGGATATTACTGACCACTATACTACCGAGGATGCTAGAATCTGCCAAACCCGGATTAACCAGGGACCTTTAGATCTTTCGGTCTAACGCTCTCCCAACTGAGTTTATTTCGGCACGCCTGCAAAGAGTTTTTATTTTTCTTCCCTTATGCTACGAGTAATTTAAAATGTATTAGTGGTTTTAAATACACAAAACAAAAAATTTCTCGGTGGGAATCGAACCCGGTCTCACACGTGACAGGCGGGGATACTGACCACTATACTACCGAGGATGCTAGAATCTGCCGAAACCCGGATTGAACCATAGGATCCCTTAGACTAGTCTAACGCTTCTCCCAACTGAGCGCTATTTCTGGTACGCCCTGCAAAAGAGTTTTTTATTTTCTTTCCTTTATGCTACATGAGTACTTAAAATAAATTAGTGGTTTTAAATACAAAAAAAAGAAAAATACTCCCGGCGGGGAATCGAACTCGGTCTCCCTGCGTGATTGCGGGGATACTTCGACCACTATACTACCGAGGATGCTGTGAATCTGCCGAAACACGGGATTGAACCAGGGACCTTTAGATCTTTCAGTCTAACGCTCTCCCAACTGAGCTATTTCGGCAGTTCGCAAAAGAGTTTTTATATTCTTCGCGTGCTACGAGTACTAAAATGTATTAATGGTTTTAAATACACGAAAAAAAAATACTCCCCGGCGGGGAATCGAACCCCGGTCTCGCGACAGGCGGGGGATAATGACCACTATGTTACCGAGGATGCTAGAGTTCGCCAAAACCCAGGATTGAACCATTAGGACCTTTAGATCTTTCGGTCTAACGCTCTCTCCCAACTGAGCTATTTCGGCACGCTCGCAAAAGAGTTTTTTATTTTCTTCCTTATGCTACGGCGTCTTAAAATGTATTAGTAGTTTTAAATACACAAAAAAAAAACAAAAAAATACTTCCCCGGCGGGGAATCGAACCTCGGTCTCCCGCGTGACAGGAGGGATGGCCGGACCACTATACTATTGAGGATGCTAGAATCTGCTGAAACCCGGATTGAACCAGGGACCTTTAGATCTTTCAGTCTAACGCTCTCCCAATCCGGAGCTATTTCGGCACGTCGCAAAAGCTTTTTATTTTTTCTTTTCCTTAAAACTGCTACATACGAGTACTCAAAATGCATAAGTGGTTTTAAATACACACAAAAAAAAAAAATACTCCCCGGCGGGGAATCGAACCCCGGTCTCCCCGCGTGACAGGCGGGGGATACCACTATACTACCGAGGATGCTAGAATCTGCCGAAACCCGGATTGAACCAGGGACCTTAGGATCTTCGCCAGTTCAACGCTCTCCCCAACTGAGCTATTTCGGCACGTTCGGTAAAAGAGTTTTTATTTTCTTATGCGCTACGAGTACTTAAAATGTATTAGTGGTTTTAAATACACAAAAAAAAAAAAAAAAATACTACACGCAGGGGAATCGAACGACTGGTCTCCCCGCGTGACAGGCGGGGATACCGGAACACTATACTACCGAGGATGGAAATCTGCCGAAACCCGGATTGAACCAGGGACCTTAGATCTTCAGTCTAACGCCTCCCCAATCCGAGCTATTTCGGCACGTCTGTAAAAGAGTCTTTTATTTTCTTTCCCTTTATGCTACGAGTACTTAAAATGTATTAGTGCGGTTTTAAATACACAAAAAAAAAAAAAAATACCCCGGCGGAATCGAACTCGGTCTCCTGCGCGTGAGATTGTGCGGGGATACTGACCACTATACTACCGAGGATGCTAGAATCGTCTGCAAAAAGAAAGTTTTTTATTTTCTTTCCCCTTATGCTACGAGTACTTAAATGTATTAGTGGTTTTAAATACACAAAAAAAATACCCCCGGCGGGGAATCGAACCCCGGTCTCCCGCGCGTGACAGTCGGGGATACTGACCACTATAAGTACTACCGAGGATGCTAGAATCTGCCGAAACCCGGGAATGCAACCAGGACTTTAGATCTTCAGTCTAAAGTTCTCCCAACTGAGCTATTTCGGCACGTCTGCAAAAGAGTTTTTATTTTCTTCCCTTATACTACGAGTACTTAAATGTATTAGGTGGTTTTAAATACACAAAAATACTCCCCGGCGGGGAATCGAACCCCGGTCTCCCGCGCGTGACAGGCGGGGATACGCTGATCTCACTATACTACTGAGGATGCTAGAATCTACGAAACACATGATTGAACCAGGTACCTTTTAGATCTTCAGTCTAACGCTCTCCCAACTGAGCTATTTCTGGCACGTTCCGCAAAAAGAGTTTTTTATTTTTCTTTATGCTACGAGTACTTAAATGTATTAGTGGTTTTAAATACACAAAAAAAAAATACTCCCCGGCGGGGAATCGAACCCCGGTCTCTCGTGTGACAGGCGGGGATACCGACCACTATACTACCGAGGATGTTGTGAATCTGCCGAAACCCGGGACCTTTAGATCTTCAGTCTAACGCTTCCTCCCAACTGAGCCATATTTCGGCATCGTCTGCAAAAGAGTTTTTGGCTTTTCTTTCCCTTATGCTACGAGTACTTAAATGTATTAGTGGTTTTAACACACAAAGTACCCTCCCCGGCGAGGACCGAACTCCCGGTCTCCCGCGTGACAGGCGCGGGGATACCACCACTATACTAACAGGATGCTAGATCCGCCGAAACACGGATTGAACCAGGGACCTTATGATCTTCAGTTCAGCTCTCCAACTGAGTTATTTCGGCATGTCTGCAAAGAGTTTTTATTTTCTTTCCTTATGCTACGAGTACTTAAAATGTATTAGTGGTTTTAAATACACAAAAAAAAAAAAAAAAAACTCCCCGGCGGGAATCGAACTCCCGGTCTCCCCGCGTGACAGGCGGGGATACTCGACCACTATAATGCCGAGGATGCTAGAATCTGCCGAAACTCCGGATTGAACCAGGGACCTTTAGATGTTCAGTCTAACGCCTCCCCAACTGAGCTATTTCTCGGCACGTCTGCAAAGAGTTTTTATTTTCTTCCCCTTATGCGCTACGAGTACTTAAAACGTATTAGTGGTTTTAAATACAATAAAAAAAAATACTCCCGGCGGGGAATCGAACCCCGGTCTCCCGCGTGACAGGAAGGATACTGACAACTATACTACCGAGATGCTAGAATTTTCCGAAAACCCGGATTGAACCAGGGACTTTTAGATCTTCAGTCTAACGCTCTCCCCAACTGAGCTATTTTCGGCACGTCTGGTAAAGAGTTTTATTTTCTTCCTTATGCTACGAGTAAAACGTATTAGTAAGTTTAAATAACCAATAAAAAAAAAAAAAAAAAAAAAAATACTCCCGGCGGGGAATCGAACTCGGTCTCCCCGCGCATGTGCGATACTGACCACTATACTACCGAGGATAGAATCTGCCGAAACCCGATTGAACCAGGGACCTTTAGATCTTCTCAGCTGTCTAACGCTCTCCCAACTGAGCTATTTCGGCACGCTCCGTGTGTTATTATTTTTTATTTTTCTTCCTTATGCTACGAGTACTTAAAATGTATTAGTGGTTTTAAATACACAAAAGAAAAAAAAAATACTCCCCGGCGGGAAATCGAACCCCGGTCTCCCGCGTGATAGGCGGGGATACTGACCACTATACTACCGAGGATGCTAGAATCTGCCGGTTCATTACGATTGAACCAGGTACCTTTAGATCTTCAGTCTAACGCTCTCTCCCAACTGAGCTATTTCGGCACGTCTGCAAAAGAGTTTTTATTTTCTTCCTATGCTACGAGTACTTCCTTAAAATGTATATGGTTTTAAATACACACAAAAATACCCCTCGGCGGGGAACTGAACCCCGGTCTCCCGCGTGACAGGCAGGATACTGACCACTATACTACCGAGGATGCTAGAATCTGCCGAAACCCGATTGAACCAGGACCTTAGATGTTCAGTCTAACGCTCTCCAACTGAGCGCTTATTTCGGCATCGCTCAGTAAAAGAGTTTTATTTTTCTTTTCCTTATGCTACGAGTACTTAAAATGTATTAGTGGTTTTAAATACACAAAAATACTCCCTGGCGGGAATCGAAACCCCGGTCTCGTGTGACAGGCGGGGATACTGACCACTCATACTACTGGAGGATGCTAGAATCTGCCGAAACCCGACCTTAGATCTTCAGTCTAACGCTCTCCCAACTGAGCTATTTCGGCATCGCCCGCAAAAGAGTTTTTATTTTCTTTTCCTTATGCTACGAGTACTTAAAATGTATTAGTGGTTTTAAATACACAAAAAAAATTCTCCCGGCGAGGAATCGAACCCCCGGTCTCCCCTGCGTGACAGGCGGGGATACTGACCACTATACTACCGTGGATGCTAGAATCTGCCGGAAACACGGATTGAACCAGGGACCTTTAGATCTTTCTCAGTCTAACGCTCTCCAACTGAGTATTTCGGCATCGTCTGCAAAGAGTTTTTTATTTTTCCCTTATGCTGCTACGAGTACTTAAAATGTATTAGTGGTTTTTAAATACACAAAAAAAAAAAAAACTCCCCGGCGGGGAATCGAACTCGGTCTCCCGCGTGACAGGCGGGGATATCGACCACTATACTGCCGAGGATGCTAGAATCTGCCGAAACCCGGATTGAACCAGGGACCTTAGATGTTCAGTCTAACGCTCTCCCAACTGAGCTATTTCGGCATCGTCTGCAAAAGAGTTTTTTTTATTTTCTTTCCCTATGCTACGAGTAAGTAATTAAAATGTATTAGTGGTTTTAAATACACAAAAAATACCCCCGGTGGGGAATCGAACCCCGGTCTCCCGCGTGACAGTGTGAAGCGGGATACTGACAACTATACTACCGAGGATGCTAGAATCTTCCGAAACCCGGGATTGAACCAGGGATCCTTTAGATCTTCAGTCTAAACGCTTCCTCCCAACTGAGCATTTCGGCACGTCTGCAAAAGTGGTGCTTTTTTATTTTCTTTTCCCTTATGCTACGAGTACTTAAAATGTATTAGTGGTTTTAAATACAAAAAAAAAAAATACTCCCCGGTGGGGAATCGAACCCCGGTCTCCCGCGTGACAGGCGGGGATACTCGGACCACTATATTACTGAGGATAGAATCTGCCGAAACCCGATTGAAACAGGGACCTTTAGGATCTTTCAGTCTAACGCTCTCCCAACTGAGCTATTTCGGCACGTCTGCAAAAGAGTTTTTATTTTCTTTCCCCGCGCTACGAGTACTTAAAAATGTATTAGTGCGGTTTTAAATACACAAAAATACTCGGCGGGGAATCGAACCCCGGTCTCCCGCGTGACAGGTGGGGATACTAACCACGATACTACCGGAGATGTGCTAGAATCTGCCGAAACCCGGGATTGAACCAGGGAATTTTAGATCTTCAGTCTAACGCCTCCTAATCCGAGCTATTTCGGCACGTCTGCAAAAAGAGTTTTTATTTTTCTTTCCTTATGCTACGAGTACTTAAAATGTATTAGTGGTTTTAAATGACAATACCACAAAAAAAAAATACCCCGGCGGGGGACCGAACTGGTCTCCCCGCGTGACAGGCGGGGATACTGACCACTATGTAATTACCGAGGATGCTAGAATCTGCCGAAACCCGATTGAACCAGGGACCTTTAGGATCTTCAGTCTAACGCTCTCCCAACTGAGCTATTTCCTGGCACGTCTGCAAAGAGTTTTTTATTTCTTCCTTATGCTACGAGTACTTAAAATGTATTAGTGGTTTTAAATACACAGAAAAAAAAAATACTCCCGGCGGTTAATCGAACCCCGGTCTCCCGCGTGACAGGCGGGGATACTGACCACTATACTACCGAGGATGCTAGAATCTGCCGAAACCCGGGATTGAACCAGGGACCTTTTAGATCTTCAGTCTAACGCTTCCCAACTGAGCTATTTCGGATATCGCCTGAAAAAGAGTCTTTTGCTTTCTTTCTTATGCTACGAGTACTTAAAATGTATTAGTGGTTTTAACAATAAAAAAAAAAAATACTCCCGGCGGGGAATCGAACACCGGTCTCCCGCGTGAAAGGCGGGGATACTGACCACTATACCGAGGATGCTAGAATCTGCCGAAACACGGGATTGAACCAGGGACCTTTAGATTCAGTTCAACGCTCTCCCAACTGAGCTTTCATATTTCGGCACGTCTGCAAAGAGTTTTTATTTTTCCTTAGTGCCGCCAGTACTTAAAATGTAATAGTGGTTTTAAATACACAAAGAAAAATATTCCCCGGCGGGGACCGCATCCCTACAGTCTCCGCGTGACAGGCGGGGATACTGACCACTATACTACCGAGGATGCTAGAATCTGCCGAAACACGGATTGAACCAGGGACATTTAGATCTTCAGTCTAACGCTCTCCCGAGCTATTTCGGCATCGCCTGTAAAAGAGTTTTTATTTTTTCCATGGTGCTACGAGTACTTAAAATGTATTAGTGGTTTTAAATACACAAAAATACTTCCCCGGTGGGAATCGAACCCCGGTCTCCCGCGTGACAGGCGGGATACTGGACCACTATACTACCGAGGATGCTAGAATCTGCCGAAACCCGATTGAACCAGGGACCTTTAGATCTTCAGTCTAACGCTCTCCCAACTGAGCTTTGGTTACGGCACGTCTGCAAAAGAGTTTTATTTTCTTCCCTTATGCTACGAGTACTTAAAATGTACGCGGGTTTTAAATACACAGAAAAAAATACTCCCGGCGGGGAATCGAACCCCGGTCTCCCGCGTGACAGGCGGGGATACTGACCACTATACTACCGAGGATGCTAGAATCTGCCGAAACCCGGGATTGAACCAGGGACCTTTAGATCTTCAGTCTAACGCTCTCCCAACTGAGCTATTTCGGCACGTCTGCAAAAGAGTCTTTATTTCTTCCCTTATGCTACGAGTACTAAAATGTATTAGTGGTTTTAAATACACAAAAAAATACTCCCCGGCGGGGAATCGAATGACCGGTCTCCCGCGTGAAAGGCGGGTATACTGACCACTATACTACCGGAGGATGCTGGTGAATTGCCGAAACACGGGATTGAACCAGGGACCTTAGATCTTTCAGTCTAACGCTCTCCCAATCCGAGCTATTTCGCACGTTCAGTAAACGAGTTTTCTTCCCTTATGCTACGAGTACTTAAAATGTAATAGTGGTTTTAAATACACGAAAGAAAAATACCCCCGGCGGGGAATCGAACCCGGTCTCCCCGCGTGACAGGCGGGGGATATCGACCACTATACTACCGGGAGGATTTTGTGAATTGCCGAACCCGGATTGAACCAGGGACCTTTAGATCTTCAGTCTAACGCTCTCCCAACTGAGCTATTTCGGCATCGCTCAAAGAGTTTTTATTTTTCCTTTTATGCTACGAGTACTAAAATGTATTAGGCGTTTTGGCACACAAAGAAAAAAAATACTCCCCGGCGGGGAATCGACCTCGGTCTCCCGCGTGCGTGACAGGTGGCGGGGATACTGACCACTATACTGGGTCGAGGATGCTAGAATCTGCCGAAACACGGGATTGAACCAGGGACATTTAGATCTTCAGTCTAACGCTCTCCCAACTGAGCTATTTCGGCACGTCTGCAAAAGAGTTTTTTTCTTTCCTTATGCTACGAGTACCTTAAAATGTAATAGTGGTTTTAAATACACGAAAGAAAAAAAATACTCCCCGGCGGGGAATCAATTGGTCTCCCGCGTGACAGGCGGGGATACTGACCACTATACTACCGGGATACACTGAAATCTGCAGAAACCGGGATTGAACCAGGGACCTTTAGATCTTCAGTCTAACGCTCTCCCAACTAGGCTATTTCGGCGATCTGCGAAGTTTTTATTTCTTTCCTTATGCTACGAAGTACTTAAAAATGTATTAGTGGTTTTAAATACACAAAGAAAAAAAAATAATCCCCGGCGGGGGAATCGAACCCCGGTCTCCCGCGTGAGCAGGCGGGGATACTGATATACTACCGAGGATGCTAGAATCTGCCGAAACACGGGTTGAACCAGGGACATTTAGATCTTCCAGTCAACGCTCTCCTAACTGTGACCTGTTCAGCACGTCTGCAAAAGGAGTTTTTATTTTCTTTCCCTTATGCTGAAATTACTTAAAATGTATTAATTTGGTTTCGGCCACAAAAAAAAAAATACTCCCCGGCGATTGTCCGGGCCCCAGTCTCCCGCGTGAAAGGCGGGGATACTGACTTCACTGCTACCGAGGATGCCAAAATCTGCGAAACCCGGGATTAGACCAGGACCTTTGAGTCTTTAGTCTAACGCTCCCCCATCTGAGCCTATTTTCAGCACGTCTGCAGAGTCTTTTATTTTTGCTTTTTCCTTATGCTGCAGTACTTAAAAATGTATTAGTGGTTTTAAATACACAAAGAAAAAAAAATACTCCCCGGCGATCGAACTGATCTCCGCGCGGCGACAGGCGGGGATACTGACTCACTATACTACCGAGGATGCTAGAGATCTGCCGAAACACGGGATTGAACCAGGACATTTTAGATCTTCAGTCTGGCAGCTCTCCCAACTGAGCTATTTCGGCGTCTGCAAAGTTTTCTATTTTCTTCCCTTATGCTACGAGTACTTAAAATGTATTAGTGGTTTTGATAGAAAAAAAATACTCACCGGCGGGGGAATCGAACCCCGGTCTCCGCGGCGACAGGCAGGGATACCCCGAGCCACTATACTACCGGGGATGCTAGAATCTGCCGAAACCGGGGATTGAACCGGGGACCTTAAGATCTTCAGTCTAACGCTCTCCCCAACTGAAATTTCGGCGCGTCTGCAAGAGTCTTTTATTTTCTTTCCTTATGCTACGAAATTGCCCAAAATGTATTAGTGGTTTCAAGCCACACAAAAAAATATCTCCCCAGCGAGAATCAAACCCCGGTCTCTCCCGCGTGACAGGCGGGTATGCGAGCCACTATACTACCGAGGATGCTAGAATCTGCCGAAACACGGGATTGAACCGGGGGCCTTTAGATCTTCAGTCTAACGCTCTCCCAACTGAGCTATTTCGGACGTCTGCAAAAAGTTTTTATTTTCTTTCCCTTATGCTACGAGTACAAAATGTATTGGTGGTTTTAAATACACAAAAAAAAACTCCCGGCAGAATCGAACCCCGGTCTCCGCGTGACAGGCGGGATACTGCCACTATACTACCGAGGTGCTAGATCTGCAACCGGGATTGAACCAGGGACCTTGTCTTCAGTCTAGCTCTCCCAACTGAGCTATTTCGGCGTCTGCTTTTATTTTCTTTCCTTATGCTGATCTTAAAATGTATTAGTGGTTTTAAACAAAAAAAAAAAAAATACTCCCCGGCGGGGAATCGAACCGGTCTCCCGCGTGAAGGCGGGGATACTGACACTATACTACCGGGATGCTAGAATCTGCCGAAACCGGGATTGAACCAGGGACCTTAGATCTTCGTCAACGCTCTCCCAACTGGCTATTTCGGCACGTCTGCAAAGGATTTTTTTCCTTGCTCAGTACAAAATGTATGTGGTTTTAAATACACAAAAAAATCCCCCGGCGGGAATCGAACCGGTCTCCGCGTGGGATACTGACCACTATACTACCGGATGCTAGAATCTGCCAAACCGGGATTGAACCAGGGACCTTAATCTTCGTCTAACGCTCTCCCCAAATGAGCTATTTCGCATCTAAAAGAGTTTTTTTCTTTCCTTATGCTACGAGTCTTAAAATGTATTAGTGTTTAATACACAAAAAAAATACTCCCCGGCGGTCGAACCCCGGGCTCCCGCGTGACGGCGGGATACTGACCACTACTACGAGGATGCGAATCTGCCCAACCGGGATTGAACCAGGGACTTTAGATCTTCAGTCTAACGCTCCAACTGGCTTTCGGCGTCAAAGAGTTTTTATTTTCTTTCCTTATGCTACGAGTCAAAATGTATTAGTGGTTTTAAATACAAAAAAAAAAATACTCCCGGGGAATCAACCCTCTCCCGCTGACGGCGGGGATACTGACCACTATACTACCGAGGATGCTAAATTGCCGAAAGGTTGAACCGGGACAATCTTCAGTCTAACGCTCTCCCAAATGAGCTATTTCGGCGTCTGAAAAGAGTTTTTATTTTTTTCCTTATACGAGTACTTAAAATGTATTAGGGTTTAAATACACAAAAAAATACTCCCCGGCGGATCGAACCCCGGGCTCCCGCGTGACAGGCGGGATACGACCACTATACCGAATGCTAGAATCTGCAAAGGTTTTTATTTTCTCCTAATGCTTTTGACTTAAAAGTTTATTTTTTAAATACAAAAATATGGAAAAAAATCTCCCGCGGGTGACGGGGCAGGGGATACTGACCCTATACACCGGGATGCTAAATTGCCGAACCGGGATTGAACAGGGACCTTTAGATCTTCAGTCAACGCTCTCCCACGATATTTCGCACGTCTGCAAAGAGTTTTATTTTTTTCCTTATGCTACGAGTACTTAAAAGTATTGTGGTTTAAATACACAAAAAAAATACTCCCCGGCGGATCGACGGTCTCCGCGTGACAGGCGGGATACTGACCACTAACTCGGGATGCTAATCTGCGAAACCGGATTGAACGGGACCTTTGATCTTCAGTCTAACGCTTCCCCACGGCTATTCGCACGTCTGCAAAGAGTTTTTATTTTTTCCTTGCTGGGCAAAATGTATTAGTGGTTTAAAACAAAAAAATACCCCCGGGGAATCAGCGGTCTCCCCGTGACGGCGGGATACTACACACTACCGAATGCTAGAATCTGCCCAAACCGGTTGAACCAGGGATTTAGATCTTCAGTCTAACGCTCTCCAACTGAGCTATTTCCACGTCTGCAAAGAGTTTTTTTTTCTTCCTTATGCTACGGTACTTAAAATGTATTAGTGGTTTTAAAAACACAAAAAAAATACTCCCCGGCGGGATCAAGGTCTCCGCGACAGCGGGGATCGACCACTATACTACCGAGATGCTGAATCTGCGAACCGGGATTGAACAGGGACCTTTGATCTTCAGTCTAACGCCTCCCAACTGATATTTCGGCACGTCTGCAAAGAGTTTTATTTTCTTTCCTTATGCACAGTCTTAAAAGTATTAGTGGTTTAATACACAAAAAAATACTCCCGGGGGTGAACCCGTCTCGCGTGACGGCGGGGATACGACACTATACTACCGGGATGCTAGAATCTGCGAACCGGTTGAACAGGGACAATCTAGTCTACGCTCTCCCACTGGCTATTCGGCACGTCTGAAAAGGTTTTATTTTCTTTCCTTATGCTACGAGTACTTAAATGTATTAGTGGTTTTAAATACACAAAAAAAAAAATACTCCCCGGCGGAATCGAACGGTCTCCCGCGTGACGGCGGGGATACTGACCACTATACTACCGGGATGCTAGAATCTGCCGAACCGGGATTGAACCAGGGACATTTAGATCTTCAGTCTAACGCTCTCCCAACTGAGCTATTTCGGCACGTCTGCAAAGAGGTTTTATTTTCTTTCCTATGCTACGGTACTTAAAATGTATGTGGTTTTAAATACACAAAAAAAAAATACTCCCCGGCGAGTCGAACCCGGTCTCCCGCGTGACAGGCGGGGATACTGACCACTATACACCGAGGATGCTGAATCTGCCGAAACCGGGATTGAACCAGGACCTTTAGATCTTCAGTCTAACGCTCTCCCAACTGAGCTATTTCGGCACGTCTGCAAAGAGTTTTTATTTTCTTTCCTTATGCTACGAGTACTTAAAATGTATTAGTGGTTTTAAATACACAAAAAATACTCCCGGCGGGAATCGAACGGTCTCCCGCGTGACAGGCGGGGATACTGAAATATACACCGAGGATGCTGAATCTGCCGAAACCGGGATTGAACCAGGGACCTTTAGATCTTCAGTCTAACGCTCTCCCAACTGAGCTATTTCGGCACGTCTGCAAGAGTTTTTATTTTCTTTCCCTTATGCTACGAGTACTTAAAATGTATTGGTGGTTTTAAATACACAAAAAAAAATCCCCGGCGGGGAATCGAACCGGTCTCCCGCGTGACAGGCGGGGATACTGACCACTATACTACCGAGGATGCTAGATCTGCCGAAACCGGGATTGAACCAGGGACCTTTAGATCTTCAGTCTAACGCTCTCCCAACTGAGCTATTTCGGCACGTCTGCAAAAGTTTTTATTTCTTTCCCTTATGCTACGAGTACTTAAAATGTATTAGTGGTTTTAAATACACAAAAAAAAATACTCCCGGCGAATCGAACCCGGGCTCCCGCGTGACAGGCGGGGATACTGACCACTATACTACCGAGGATGCTTAGAATCTGCCGAAACCGGGATTGAACCAGGACCTTTAGATCTTCAGTCTAACGCTCTCCCAACTGAGCTATTTCGGCACGTCTGCAAAGTTTTTATTTCTTTCCCTTATGCTACGGTACTTAAAATGTATTAGTGGTTTTAAATACACAAAAAAAAATACTCCCCGGCGGGAATCGAACCGGTCTCCCGCGTGACAGGCGGGGAACGCCACTATACTACCGAGGATGCTAGATCTGCCGAAACCGGGATTGAACCGGGGACCTTTAGATCTTCAGTCTAACGCTCTCCCAACTGAGCTATTTCGCACGTCTGCAAAAGAGTTTTTATTTTCTTTCCCTTATGCTACAGTACTAAAATGTATTAGTGGTTTTAAATACACAAAAAAATACTCCCGGCGAGAATCGAACCCCGGGCTCCGCGTGACAGGCGGGGATACTGACCACTACTACCGAGGATGTAGAATCTGCCGAAACCAGGATTGAACCAGGGACCTTTAGATCTTCAGTCTAACGCTCTCCCAACTGAGCTATTTCGGCACGTCTGCAAGAGTTTTTATTTCTTTTCCTTATGCTACGAGTACTTAAAATGTATTAGTGGTTTTAAATACACAAAAAAATACTCCCCGCGGGATCGAACCGGTCTCCCGCGTGACAGGCGGGGATACGGTATACTACCGAGGATGCTAGAATCTGCCAAACGGGTTGAACCAGGGACCTTAGATCTTCGTCTAACGCTCTCCCAACTGAGCTATTTCGGCACGTCTGCAAAAGAGTTTTTTTTTTCTTTCCCTTTGCTACGAGTACTTAAAATGTATTAGTGGTTTTAAATAACAAAAAAAAAAAACTCCCACGGGGATCGAACCGGTCTCCCGCGTGACAGGCGGGGATACTGACCACTATACTACCGAGGATGCTAAATCTGCCGAAACCGGGATTGAACCAGGGACCTTTAGATCTTCAGTCTAACGCTCTCCCAACTGAGCTATTTCGGCACGTCTGCAAAAGAGTTTTTATTTTCTTTCCCTTATGCTACGAGTACTTAAAATGTATTAGTGGTTTTAAATACACAAAAAAAAAAAAATACTCCCCGGCGGAATCGACCGTCTCCGCGTGACAGGCGGGGATACGACACTATACTACCGGGATGCTAGAATCTGCCGAAACCGGGATTGAACCAGGGACCTTAGATCTTCAGTCTAACGCTCTCCCAACTGGCTATTTCGCACGTCTGCAAAAGAGTTTTTTATTTTCTTTCCATGCTACGAGTACTTAAAATATTAGTGGTTTTAAATACACAAAAAATACTCCCCGGCGAGAATCGAACCCCGGTCTCCCGCGTGACAGGCGGGATACTGACCACTATACTACCGAGGATGCTAGAATCTGCCGAAACCCGGGATTGAACCAGGGACCTTAGATCTTCAGTCTAACGCTCTCCCCAACTGAAACTATTTCGGCACGTCTGCAAGAGTTTTTATTTTCTTTCCTTATGCTACGAGACTTAAAATGTATTAGTGGTTTTAAATCACAAAAAAATACTCCCCGGCGAGAATCGAACCCGGTCTCCCGCGTGACGAGGCGGGATAACGACCACTATACTACCGAGGATGCTAGAATCTGCCGAAACCGGGATTGAACCAGGGACCTTTAGATCTTCAGTCTAACGCTCTCCCAACTGAGCTATTTCGGCACGTCTGCAAAAGAGTTTTTTATTTTCTTTCCCTTATGCTACGAGTACTTAAAATGTATTAGTGGTTTTAAATACACAAAAAAAAATACTCCCCGGCGAGAAATCGAACCCCGGTCTCCCGCGTGACAGGCGGGGATACTGACCACTATACTACCGAGGATGCTAGAATCTGCCGAAACCGGGATTGAACCAGGGACCTTTAGATCTTCAGTCTAACGCTCTCCCCAACTGAGCTATTTCGGCACGTCTGCAAAAGAGTTTTTATTTCTTTCCCTTATGCTACGAGTACTTAAAATGTATTAGTGGTTTTAAATACCAAAAAAAAAAAAAATACTCCCCGGCGGGGAATCGAACCCCGGGCTCCCGCGTGACAGGCGGGGATACTGACCACTATACTACCGAGGATGCTAGAATCTGCCGAAACCGGGATTGAACCAGGGACCTTTAGATCTTCAGTCTAACGCTCTCCCAACTGAGCTATTTCGGCACGTCTGCAAAAGAGTTTTTATTTTTTTCCCTATGCTACAGTACTTAAAATGTATTAGTGGTTTTAAATACACACAAAAAATACTCCCCGGCGGGGAATCGAACCCCCGGTCTCCCGCGTGACAGGCGGGGATACTGACCACTATACTACCGAGGATGCTAGAATCTGCCGAAACCGGGATTGAACCAGGGACCTTTAGATCTTCAGTCTAACGCTCTCCCAACTGAGCTATTTCGGCACGTCTGCAAAAGAGTTTTTATTTTCTTTCCATGGTGCTACGAGTACTTAAAATGTATTAGTGGTTTTAAATACACAAAAAAAATACTCCCCGGCGGGGAAACGAACGGTCTCCCGCGTGACAGGCGGGGATACTGACCACTATACTACCGAGGATGCTAGAATCTGCCGAAACCCGGGATTGAACCAGGGACCTTTAGATCTTCAGTCTAACGCTCTCCCAACTGAGCTATTTCGGCACGTCTGCAAAAGAGTTTTTTATTTTCTTTCCCTTATGCTACGAGTACTTAAAATGTATTAGTGGTTTTAAATACACAAAAAAAAAACTCCCCGGCGGGGAATCGAACCCCGGTCTCCCGCGTGACAGGCGGGGATACTGACCACTATACTACCGAGGATGCTAGAATCTGCCGAAACCCCGGGATTGAACCAGGGACCTTTAGATCTTCCCGTCTAACGCTCTCCCAACTGAGCTATTTCGGCACGTCTGCAAAAGAGTTTTTATTTTCTTTCCCTTATGCTACGAGTACTTAAAATGTATTAGTGGTTTTAAATACACAAAAAAAAAAACTCCCCGGCGGGGAATCGAACCCCGGTCTCCCGCGTGACAGGCGGGGATACTGACCACTACTACCGGGGGATGCTAGAATCTGCCGGGGAGGATTGAACCAGGGACCTTTAGATCTTCAGTCTAACGCTCTCCCAACTGAGCTATTTCGGCACGTCTGCAAAAGAGTTTTTTTTTTTCTTTCCCTTATGCTACGAGTACTTAAAATGTATTGTGGTTTTAAATACACAAAAAAAAAAAATACTCCCCGGCGGGGAATCGAACCCCGGTCTCCCGCGTGACAGGCGGGGATACTGACCACTATACTACCGAGGATGCTAGAATCTGCCGAAACCGGGATTGAACCAGGGACCTTTAGATCTTCAGTCTAACGCTCTCCCAACTGAGCTATTTCGGCACGTCTGCAAAGAGTTTTTATTTTCTTTTCCCTTATGCTACAGGGACTTAAAAATGTATTAGTGGTTTTAAATACACAAAAAAAAAAAATACTCCCCGGCGGGAATCGAACCGGTCTCCCGCGTGACAGGCGGGGATACTGACCACTATACCGAGGATGCTAGAATCTTGCCGAAACCCGGGATTGAACCAGGGACCTTTAGATCTTCAGTCTAACGCTCTCCCAACTGAGCTATTTCGGCACGTCTGCAAGAGTTTTTATTTTCTTTCCCTTTGCTACGAGTACTTAAAATGTATTAGTGGTTTTAAATACACAAAAAAAAAAAAAACTCCCCGGCGGGAATCGAACCCGGTCTCCCGCGTGACGGCGGGGATACTGACCACTATACTACCGAGGATGCTAGAATCTGCCGAAGCCGGGATTGAACCAGGGACCTTTAGATCTTCAGTCTAACCCCTCTCCCCCAACTGAGCTATTTCGGCACGTCTGCAAAAGAGTTTTTATTTTCTTTCCCTTATGCTACGAGTACTTAAAATGTATTAGTGGTTTTAAATACACAAAAAAAAAATACTCCCCGGCGGGGAATCGAACCCGGTCTCCCGCGTGACAGGCGGGGATACTGACCACTATACTACCGAGGATGCTAGAATCTGCCGAAACCCGGGATTGAACCAGGGACCTTTAGATCTTCAGTCTAACGCTCTCCCAACTGAGCTATTTCGGCACGTCTGCCAAAGAGTTTTTTATTTTCTTTCCTTATGCTACGAGTACTTAAAATGTATTAGTGGTTTTAAATACACAAAAAATACTCCCCGGCGGATCGAACCCGGTCTCCCGCGTGACAGGCGGGGATACTGACCACTATACTACCGAGGATGCTAGAATCTGCCGAAACCGGGATTGAACCAGGGACCTTTAGATCTTCAGTCTAACGCTCTCCCAACTGAGCTATTTCGGCACGTCTGCAAAAAAATTTTTTATTTTCTTTCCTTATGCTACGAGTACTTAAAATGTATTAGTGGTTTTAAATACACAAAAAAAAAAAACTCCCGGCGGGAATCGAACCCCGGTCTCCCGCGTGACAGGCGGGGATACTGACCACTATACTACCGAGGATGCTAGAATCTGCCGAAACCGGGATTGAACCAGGGACCTTTAGATCTTCAGTCTAACGCTCTCCCAACTGAGCTATTTCGGCACGTCTGCAAAGAGTTTTTTATTTTCTTTCCCTTATGCTACGAGTACTTAAAATGTATTAGTGGTTTTAAATACACAAAAAATACTCCCCGGCGGGATGAACCCCGTCTCCCGCGTGACAGGCGGGATACTGACCACTATACTACCGGGATGCTAGAATCTGCCGAAACCCGGGATTGAACCAGGGACCTTTAGATCTTCAGTCTAACGCTCTCCCAACTGAGCTATTTCGGCACGTCTGCAAAAGAGTTTTTATTTTCTTTCCCTTATGCTACGAGTACTTAAAATGTATTAGTGGTTTTAAATACACAAAAAATACTCCCCGGCGAGAATCGAACCCCGGTCTCCCGCGTGACAGGCGGGGATACTGACCACTATACTACCGAGGATGCTAGAATCTGCCGAAACCGGGATTGAACCAGGGACCTTTAGATCTTCAGTCTAACGCTCTCCCAACTGAGCTATTTCGGCACGTCTGCAAAAGAGTTTATTATTTTCTTTCCCTGGTGCTACGAGTACTTAAAATGTATTAGTGGTTTTAAATACACAAAAAATACTCCCCGGCGGGAATCAACCGAGTCTCCCGCGTGACAGGCGGGGATACGACCACTATACTACCGAGGATGCTAGAATCTGCCGAAACCGGGATTGAACCAGGGACCTTTAGATCTTCAGTCCTAACGCTCTCCCCAACTGAGCTATTTCGGCACGTCTGCAAAGAGTTTTTTATTTTCTTTCCTTGCTACGAGTACTTAAAATGTATTAGTGGTTTTAAATACACAAAAAAATACCCCCGGCGAATCGAACCCGGTCTCCCGCGTGACGGCGGGGATACTGACCACTATACTACCGAGGATGCTAGAATCTGCCGAAACACGGGATTGAACCAGGGGACCTTTAGATCTTCAGTCTAACGCTCTCCCAACTGAGCTATTTCGGCACGTCTGCAAAAGAGTTTTTATTTTCTTTCCCTTATGCTACGAGTACTTAAAATGTATTAGTGGTTTTAAATACACAAAAAAATACTCCCCGGCGGGAATCGCCCGGTCTCCCGCGTGACAGGCGGGGATACTGACCCTTACAACCGAGGATGCTAGAATCTGCCGAAAACCCCGGGGTTGAACCAGGGACCTTTAGATCTTCCCGGGCTAACGCTCTCCCAACTGAGCTATTTCGGCACGTCTGCAAAAAATTTTTATTTCTTTCCCTTATGCTACGGTACAAAAAAATATTGTGGTTTTAAAAAAAAAACTCCCCGGGGGGAATCGAACCCGGTTTCCCCCGTGACAGGGGGGGATACTGACCCCCCCATACACCGGGATGCTAAATCTGCCAAAAGGGGGTTGGGAGGGACCTTTAGATCTTCAGTCTAACGCTCCCCAACTGAGCTATTTCGGCACGTCTGCAAAAGAGTTTTTTTTTTTCCCTTTTCTACGGGTACTTAAAAAAAGTATTGGGGGTTTTAAATACCAAAAAAAAAAACTCCCCGGGGGGAATCGAACCGGTCTCCCCCGTGACGGCGGGGATACGCCCCTTTTACCGGGATCTAGAAACTGCGAAACCGGGGGTTGAACCAGGGACCTTTAGATCTTCAGTCTAACGCTCTCCCCAAAGAGCTATTTCGGCGTCGCAAAAAAGGGTTTTTTTTTTTTCCCTTATGCTACGAGTACTTAAAAAAGTATTGGGGGTTTAAATAACCAAAAAAAAAACTCCCCCCGGGGGGTCAACCCCCGGGCTCCGCGTGACAGGCGGGGGTACGCCACTATACAGGGTCTGCTGCGCCCCGGGGTTGAACCGGGACCTTTAGTCTTCAGTCTAACGCTCTCCCAACTGAGCTATTTCGGCCTCTGCAAAAAAAGTTTTTTTTTTTTTTCCCCTTTTGCTAAGTACTTAAAATGTATTGTGGTTTTAAATAAAAAAAAAAATACTCCCCGGCGGGGGTCGAACCCCGGTTCCCCCCGTGGGGGGGTCTGACCCCTTTTACGAAGTGAAACGCGAAACCGGATTGAACCAGGGACCTTTTGTCTTCAGTCTAACGCTCTCCCAACGAGCTATTTCGGACGTCTGCAAAAGAGTTTTTTTTTTTTCCCCTATGCAATATTAAAAAGTAAGTGGTTTTTAAAAACACAAAAAAAAAAAAAACTCCCCGGGGGAAACGAACCCCCCGGGCTCCCCCGTGACAGGCGGGATACGACCACTTTCTACCGAGGATGCTGAATTGCCGAAACCGGGTTGAACCGGGACCTTTAGATCTTCAGTCTAACCTCTCCCAACTACTATTTCGGACGTCTGCAAAGAGTTTTTTTTTTTCTTTTTATGCTAGTCTTAAAAAGTATTGTGGTTTAAATCCAAAAAAAAAACCCCCGGGGAATCAACCCCCGGGCCCCGCGTGACAGGCGGGGATACTGACCACTATACTACCGAGGATGCTAAATCTGCCGAAACCCCGGGGTTTAACCAGGGACCCAGATCTTCAGTCTAACGCTCTCCCCCTGATATTTACGTCTGCAAAAGGTTTTTTTTTTTCCCCTTATGCTACGAGTACAAAATGTATTAGTGGTTTTAAATACACAAAAAAAAAAAAAAACTCCCCGGCGGGGTCGAACCGGTTCCCCGTGGGGGAACTGCCACTATACACCGGGATGTAGGAAATGCCCCCCGGGATTGAACCAGGGGGCCTTTAGATCTTCAGTCTAACGCCCCCCAACTGACTATTTTCACGTCTGCAAAAGAGTTTTTTTTTTTTTCTTTCCCCTTTCTACATACTTAAAATGTATTTGGTTTTAAAACCAAAAAAAAAACCCCCGGGGGAATCGAACCCCTCTCCCCCGTACGGCGGGGATCGCCACTATACACCGAGGTGCAGAATCGCCCCAAACCGGGATTGAACCAGGGACCTTTTGATCTTCAGTCTAACGCTCTCCCAACTGATATTTCGCCCTCTGCAAAAGAGTTTTTTTTTTTTTTTCCCTTATGCAGAGTACTTAAAATGATTTGTGGTTTTAAATACAAAAAAATACTCCCCGGGGGAATCAACCGGGCTCCCCGTGACAGGCGGGGATCGCCACTATACTACCGGGTTTCTGTCTGCCGAAACCGGGGGTTGAACCAGGGACCTTTGATCCAGTCTAACGCTCTCCCAACGGCTATTTCGGGACGTCGCAAAAAAGGTTTTTTTTTTTCCCTTTGCTACGGTACTTAAAAAATTTGGTTTTAAATAAAAAAAAAAAAAAACTCCCCGGCGGGGGAAACGAACCCCGGTCTCCCCGCGTGACGGCGGGGATACACACTATACTACCGGGATGCTGAAACTGCCGAAACCGGGATTGAACCGGGACCTTTAGATCTTCAGTCTAACGCTTTTCCCCCAAATAGCTATTTCGGGACGTCTGCAAAAAAGTTTTTTTTTTCTTTCCCTTATGCTACGGGACTTAAAATGTAGTGGTTTTAAATACCAAAAAAAAAAAAAAAACTCCCCGGGGAAAACGAACCCCGGGCTCCCCGGGGACAGGGGGGATACTGACCACATACTCGAACTGCCGAACCCCCATTGAACCAGGGACCTTTGATCTTGTCTAAGCTCCCCCAAGGCTATTTTCGGGCGCAAAAGGTTTTTTTTTTCTTTTTATGCTACAGTACTTAAAATGTATTAGTGGTTTTAAATACACAAAAAAAACTCCCCGGGAAATCGAACCCCCTCTCCCGCGTGACAGGCGGGGATACTGAACCCTATACTACCGAGGATGCAGAAACGCCGAAACCGGGATTGAACCAGGGCCAGATTCCCCAAAATTTTCCCCCCCTTTTTTCGCCCTTCCCGGTTTTATTTTCCCCTTTGCAAAGAGTTTAAAATTTTTAGTGGTTTTAAATAAAAAAAAATTTTTTCCCCAAAAACCCCCGGTACACGGGGGCTCCCTTAAAGGGGATGCCCGGCCCCAAAACCCGGGGGGAACCGGGGACCGATTTACCAAGCCTAACTGGCTATTTTACACGCTGGGGTTTTTATTTTTTTTTTTTTGGGGGGGAAAATTTGGGTTTTTCCCAAAAAAAAAAACCCCCGGAATCGAACCCCGGTCCCCGGCGGGGGGGGAAAATTACCAAACCCGAAAGGAAAAACCCCCCGGGGTTGAACCAGGGCCTTTAAATTTGTCTAACGCTCTCCCAAACTTTTTGGGCCCCGCAAAAAATTTTTTTTTTTCCCTTATGCTAGGTTTTAAAAAGTATTAGTGGTTTAAAAACAAAAAAAAAAAACCCCCGGGGGGGGAACCCCCCCGGTCCGGGGTAGGCCCTTTTCCCAATCTAAAAGGAAACCCCGGGGGAAAGGGTTTGTCTTTGTCTAAACCCCCCCTTTTCCCGGGACGTCTGCAAAAAATTTTTTTTTTTTCCCTATCACAACTTAAAATGATGTGGTTTAAATACCAAAAAAAAAAACCCCCGGCGGGGAATCGAACCCCGGTCTCCCGCGTGGGGGGGACCCTTACTACCGGGATGCTAGAATCTCCAAACCGGGGGGACCGCCTTTTTTCCCCAACGCTCTCCCAACTGAGATTTGGGGTTAAAAGGGTTTTTTTTTTCTTTCCCTTTTGCTAGGTACTTAAAATTTTAAATGGTTTTTAAAAAACAAAAAAAAAAAAACTCCCCCGGGGAACAAGGCTCCGGTGACGGGGGGATAACCAACTAAGAAGAATCTGCCAAAAAGGGGGTTTAACCCGGGCCTTTAATCTTCATTAAACCCCCCCAAACTTTTGGGGGGTTAAAAATTTTTTTTTTTCCCATTTAAACCCTTAAAAAGTATTGGGGGTTTTAAATACAAAAAAAAATCCCCCGGGGGGAAGAAACCCCGGTTCCCGCGGGGCCGGGGCCCCCACAAACCGGGGGCTAAATTCCGGGGGGAGGGTTTAGATCTTCAGTCTAACGCTCTCCCAACAGGTTTTTTAAAAATTTTTTTATTTTCTTTCCCTTTTGCTTCTTAAAATGTATTGTGGTTTTAAATAAAAAAAAAAAAAACTCCCCGGCGGAATCAACCCCGGCCCCCCGGGGGGGAAAACAAACCCGGGATGGAACGCCAAACCGGGAGAAAAGGGTTTTTAATTTTTCAAACCCCCCGGCTTTTTTAAAGTTTTAAAAATTTTTTTTTTTTCCCTTTTTAAAGGGATTTTATTTTTTTAAAAAAAAAAAAAAACCCCGGGGAAACCCCCGGTTGCGGGGCCGGGGTTCCTATACTACCGGGGATTAAACCCGAAACCCGGGGTTGAACCAGGGGACCTTTAGATCTTCAGTTAACCCTCCCCAACGGGTATTTCGGACGTCTGCAAAAGAGTTTTTATTTTTTTTTAAAGGGGACTTAAAAAGTATTAGTGGTTTAAAAAAAAAAAAAAACTCCCCGGGGGAATCGAACCCCCGGGCTCCCGCGTGACAGGCGGGGGTACTGACCCCTATACCACCGGGGGGCCCCCAAACCCGGGTTGAACCCGGGGCCTTTAAATCTTCGTCTAACGCTCTCCCAATGAGCTATTTGGCCCCAAAAAAGTTTTTATTTTTTTCCCCCTTCCTAAAATCTTTTTAAAAATGGTTTTTAAAAACACAAAAAAAAAATACTCCCCGGCGGGGAAAAAACCCCCGGCTCCCCGCGTGAAGGCGGGGGTACAACCCCATACTAAGGGGTGCTAGAATCTGCCGAAAAAGGGAACCGGGCCAAGGGGCTCACTAACTTTCATCAATTTGAAAAAAACTTTCCCCTTTTGCTACGGTCTTAAAAAGATATGGTTTTAAAAAATACCCCCAAAAAAGGGCAAAAAGGGGGGGCCCCCAAAAAAAATACTCCCCGGGGGAGAACCCCGGGGTTGAACCAGGCCTTTTTTTCCCCTCCCAAGGGGCTCCCCCCTGAATTTTTTACAAAAAAATTTTTTCCTTTCAGAGTACAAAAAAAAAGGGTTTTTAAAAAAAAAAAAAAAAAATCCCCGGGAAAAAGTTTTGAAAAAAAAAAAAAACTCCGGGATTTAACCGGGCCTTTAACCGGGAAAGTCTTAACTACGTTCCCAAAATTTTTTTCCCCGTTCGGATTTTAAAATTTTTTTTTCCAAAAATTTTTTGGGTTTAAAATTTTGAAAAAAAATTTTAAAAATTGGGGGGGCCCCAAAAAAAACCCCCCAACCCGGGGTTGAACAAAACCCCCCCCAAAAAGGGACTTTTTCCCCCCAAAAGTTTTTTCTTTCCCCTTTAAAGTTAAAATTTTATTTTTCAAAAAATCCCTTTTTTAAAATTAATGGGTTTTTTCCCCCAAAAAAAAAAACCCCCCAACGAAAAGGTCCCACGGGGGGAAAAACCCCTTTTAACCAAGCTTTAAAATGGGGGGTTGAACCGGGAAAAAATTTTTAAAAATCCCCCGGGTTTATTTTGGGTTTAAAAAAAAAACTTTCCAAATCGAACGGGGAAGGGAAATACAAAAAAAATCCCCGGGGCAGGGGAACAGGGAAACCCTCTCCGGGCTTTGGGCCGAAAAGGGGTTTTTATTTTTCCCAAAGCTACGGAAACTTTAAGGGGTTTTTTTTTTTTCCCCCCAAAAGATTTTTTTAAAAAAAAAAACCCCCCGGGGAAAAAAATCAAAATTAAGGGAAACCAAATCTCCCCCAACGCAGGCCCAGGGAATTTTTCCCCCCCAAGGGGGGATTAAAATTTAAAAGGTTTTTTTTTTTTCGCCAAAAGGGTAAAGGGGGTCCAAAAAAAAAAAATTTCCCCCGAGTAAGGGGGTTTTTTAAAAAAAAACACTTCCCCGAGTTTAAACCCCCCCTTAGGGCCCCTTTTTTTTTGGGTTTCAAACCCAAAAAAAATTTTTCCCCCGGGCCGTTCCCCAAAAGGGGGTTTTCCCCCAAAAAAACCCCCAAAAAACCCCCCGGGGGGAGGGAAAAACCAAAAAAAACCCCCCAACGGGAAAGGCCCCGGGAAAAAATTTTCCTTTTTCCGGGTCTAAAAAAGGGTTAAAAAAAAAATTTTTTTTCCAAGGGGGTTTAAAAGGGGGATTTCCCTTTTGGGGGGCGGCCCCTTTTTTGGGGGGGTTTTTTTTAAAAAAAAAACCCCCCAAACGAACTTGGGGTTAAAAGATTTTTTTTTTTCCACCCAACTGGGGGGGTAAAGGGTTTTTATTTTTCTCCCCCAAAAAAGGGGAAGGGGTTTTTTTTTCCGGGGACAAAAATTTGGGTTCCAAAAAACCCCGGGTCAAGGTTTGGGAACGGGAAAAATTTTTTCCAGTCAAAAAAAGGGGGTTAAAAAAATTTTTTCCGGCAAAAAAAGGTTTTTAAAAAAAAAAATCCCCCAAACACCCGGGGTCCCAAAAGGGAGGGGGAAAAAAATTTTTAAAAAAATTAAAAAACCCCGGGGGGGCCCCGGTTTTTTCTTTCGGGGCGATAATGAGGTTTTCCAAAAAAAAATTCCCCGGGGCGACTTTTGGGGAAAAAAAAACCCCCGGGGGGCCAAAAGGTTTTTTCCCCCAAAAGGGGTTTTTTTTGGGGGGTTTAAAAAAAACCAACCAAAAAAACCCCGGGCCAGGTTTTTTTTTCCCCCCGCGTATTTAAATTTAGGGGTTTTAAATTTTCCCCAAAAAAAGGGCGGGAATTTAATTTGTTTAAACCAAAAACCCGGGGTTAAGGTTTTTTTTTGGGGGGGCGGGAAATTTTAAAAAGGGGTTAAAAAAACCCGGGGGATTTGCCGGGGCCGAAGGGGGTTACCCCTCCCCCCGGGTTTAAAAGCCAAAAAGGGGGGTTTTTTTTTTTCCATAAAATCTAAAATTTTCCCCTAAGGGGGATTTTTGACCTTCTAAAGGGGAGGGTTTAAAACCAAAAAAAAACCCCCAAAAACCCCAACCCCCGGGCGGAAAATTTTCCCCCTTCAAAGGGGTTTCCCAAACCGATTAAAAATTTTTTTTTCCTTTTTCCCTCAAGGGGGGAAAAAAAAAAATCCCCCCAAAAAAAGGTTTGGGAAAAAAAAAAAAAAATTCCGGGGGTTTGGGTTCGGGACCGGGTTCCACCAATTTTTGGATCCCAAAATTTTTTTTTTTTTAGATTTTTTTTTTTTTTAAAACCAAAATTTGGGGGTTTTTTCCCCCCCCCGGGGTTTAAAAATTTAAAAAAAAAAAATCTCCCCCGGGGGGGTTAAAGGGCCCCGTTAAAGGGGCCCCAACTATTCCCCTAAATTTGGGTAATTTAAAAGGGTTTTTTAAAATTTTTTTTAACCTTTTTTGAAAAAAGGGGTTTTAAAAAAATTCCCGGGGGAAAAATGGGGGGGGGGAACAAAAAATCTCCCGGGGCAAACCCCCCGAGAAAGGGGGGCGGGCCAAAAAATTTTTTTCCCCCGCAAGGGGAGGGGGTTTTTTTTTTTTCCCTTTCCCCCGAAAGTAAAGTTTTAAAAATTTTACTTATTAAATGTATAGTGGTTTTTAAAAACACAAAAAAAAAAACTCCCCGGGGGGAATCGAACCCCCGGGCTCCCCCCGTGACAGGCGGGGATACTGACCACTATACTACCGGGATGCTAGAATCTGCCAAAGGGGTTGAACCGGGACCTTTAGATCTTCAGTTAACGCTCTCCCAACTGAGTATTTCGGCGTTGCAAAAAAAGTTTTTTTTTTCTTTCCCTTATGCTACAGTACTTAAAATGTATTGTGGTTTTTAAAAACCAAAAAAAAAAAACTCCCCGGGGGAATGAAACCCCGGGCTCCGCGTGACAGGCGGGGGTACGAACTATACTACCGAGGATGCAGAATCTGCCGAAACCCGGGATTGAACCAGGGACCTTTAGATCTTCGTCTAACCTCCCCAACTGAGTATTTTGGCCCTCTGCAAAAGAGTTTTTATTTTCTTTCCCCTTTTGCTACAGTACTTAAAATGTATGGTGGTTTTAAATAACAAAAAAAAAAACTCCCCGGGGAATCGAACCCCCGGGCTCCCGCGTGAAGGGGGGAACCGCCCACTTACTACCGGGATGCTAGAAACTGCCGAAACCGGGAGAACCAGGGACCAGATCTTCATTAAGCTCTCCCCCCTGAGCTATTTCGGCAGTTGCAAAAAAAGTTTTTTTTTTTTTCCCCTTTTGCTACAGTACTTAAAATGTATTTGTGGGTTTTTAAAAACACAAAAAAAAAAAACTCCCCCGGGGGGGAATCGAACCCCCGGGCTCCCCCGTGACGGCGGGGATCTGACCCCTTACTACCGGGGATGCTAAATCTGGCCGGGGGAAACCCGGGGCCTTTGTCTTCAGTCTAACCTCTCCCAACTGGTTTTTGGCACGTCTGCAAAAATTTTTTTACCCTTTTCCCATGCTACAGTATTTAAAAATTTTTAGTGGTTTTAAATACACAAAAAAAAAAAAACTCCCCGGCGGGGAAACAACCCGGTCTCCCGCGTGACAGGCGGGGATACCCACTATACTACCGAGGATGCGAATTGCCGAAACCCGGGATTGAACCAGGGACCTTTAGATCTTCAGTCTAACGCTCTCCCAATTATATTTCGCCCTCTGCAAAAAAGTTTTTATTTTTCTTTCCCCTTTTGCTACGAGTCAAAATGATTAGTGGTTTTTAAAAACACAAAAAAAAAAAAAACTCCCCGGCGGGAATCGAACCCCCTCTCCCGCGTGACAGGCGGGGGACTGACCACTATACTACCGGGATGCTAGAATCTGCCGAAACCGGGATTGAACCAGGGACCTTTAAATCTTCAGTCTAACGCTCTCCCCCAAATGAGTATTTCGGCGTCTGCAAAAGTTTTTTTTTTCTTTCCCTTATGCTCAAATTTTGTATTAGTGGTTTTTAAAAACACAAAAAAAAAAACTCCCCGGCGGGGTCGAACCCCGGGCTCCCCCGTGACGGGGGGGGATACTGACCCATATACCGGGGGATGCGAATCTGCCGAAACCCGGGTTGAACCAGGGGGCCTTTAGATCTTCAGTCTAACGTCTCCCAACAGCTATTTTGGCACGTCTGCAAAAGGTTTTTATTTTCTTTCCCTTATCGAGTCAAAATGTATTAGTGGTTTTAAATACACAAAAAAAAAATCTCCCCGGGGGGAATCGAAGGTCTCCCCCGTGACAGGCGGGGATCGCCACTTTCACCGGGGATGCAAAAATCTGCCCAAACCGGGATTGAACCAGGGGCCTTTAGAAACTTCAGTCTAACGCTCTCCCAACGAGCTATTTCGGCGCGTCTGCAAAAGAGTTTTTATTTTTCTTTCCCATGCTACGAGTACTTAAAATGTATTAGTGGTTTTAAATACACAAAAAAAAAAAATACTCCCCGGCGGGGAATCGAACCCGGGCTCCCGCGTGACAGGCGGGGATCTGACCACTACTACCGAGGATGCTAGAATCTGCCGAAACCGGGATTGAACCAGGGACCTTTGAAACTTCAGTCTAACGCTCTCCCAACTGAGCTATTTCGGCACGTCTGCAAAAGAGTTTTTATTTTCTTTTCCCCTTTTGCTACGAGTACTTAAAATGTATTAGTGGTTTTAAATACACAAAAAAAAAAAATACTCCCCCAGAATCGAACCCGGTCTCCCGCGTGACAGGCGGGGATACTGACCACTATACTACCGGGATGCAGAATCTGCCGAAACCGGGATTGAACCAGGGACCTTTAGATCTTCAGTCTAACGCTCTCCCAACTGAGCTATTTCGGCACGTCTGCAAAAGAGTTTTTATTTTCTTTTCCTATGCTAAGTACTTAAAATGTATTAGTGGTTTTAAATACACAAAAAAATACTCCCCGGGGGGAATCGAACCCCGGTCTCCCGCGTGACAGGCGGGGATACTGACCACTATACTACCGAGGATGCTAGAATCTGCCGAAACCCGGGACCTTTAGATCTTCAGTCTAACGCTCTCCCAACTGAGCTATTTCGGCACGTCTGCAAAAGAGTTTTTATTTTCTTTCCCTTATGCTACGAGTACTTAAAATGTATTAGTGGTTTTAAATACACAAAAAAAATACTCCCCGGCGGAATCGAACCCCGGTCTCCCGCGTGACAGGCGGGGATACTGACCACTATACTACCGAGGATGCTAGAATCTGCCGAAACCCGGGATTGAACCAGGGACCTTTAGATCTTCAGTCTAACGCTCTCCCAACTGAGCTATTTCGGCACGTCTGCAAAAGAGTTTTTATTTTCTTTCCTTATGCTACGAGTACTTAAAATGTATTAGTGGTTTTAAATACACACAAAAAAAATACTCCCCGGCGGGGAATCGAACCCCGGTCTCCCGCGTGACAGGCGGGGATACTGACCACTATACTACCGAGGATGCTAGAATCTGCCGAAACCGGGATTGAACCAGGGACCTTTAGATCTTCAGTCTAACGCTCTCCCAACTGAGCTATTTCGGCACGTCTGCAAAGAGTTTTTATTTTTCTTTCCTTATGCTACGAGTACTTAAAATGTATTAGTGGTTTTAAATACACAAAAAAATACTCCCCGGCGGGGAATCGAACCCGGTCTCCGCGTGACAGGGGATACTGACCACTATACTACCGAGGATGCTAGAATCTGCCGAAACCCGGGATTGAACCAGGGACCTTTAAATCTTCAGTCTAACGCTCTCCCAACTGAGCTATTTCGGCACGTCTGCAAAGTTTTTTTTTTTTTTTTCCCCCATGCTAAGGCCCAAATGTATTTGTGGTTTTTAAAAACACAAAAAAAAAAATATCCCCCGGGAAACGAACCCCCCTCTCCCGCTGACAGGCGGGGATACTGACCACTTTCTACCGAGGATGTAGAATCTGCGGCCCCGGGGTTGAACCCGGGGCCTTTAGATTTAGTCTAACGCTCCCCAACTGAGCTTTTCGGCACGTCTGCAAAAAAGTTTTTATTTTCTTTCCTTATGC